AGGTTAAGTGACTTGCCCAGGATCACACAGCTAGTAAATATCTGAGGTCAGATTTGAACTCAGGAAGATGAGTCTTCCTGACTCCAGGCCTGGTGCTCTTTCCACTGGGTTTCACGGAGATGAGGGTGAGCATTTGATCAACCATCTGATTACTAAACCAGGTCAAGCACTGGTCAGTAGAACTCTCTGGTTGCCATACTTAGAATGCATAATAATAATAAAAACAATAATAACAATAACAACAGCTAGCATTCTGCAACAGTAGGTAAGCATTGCCTTAAGGTCCGTGAAGCTCCTCATAAGATGCTATTGTATCTTCACAATAACCCTGGAAAGTAGGTGCTATTATCTCATTTTATAGTTAAGGAAACTGAAACAGAGATTAAGTGACTTGCTCAGGGTCACACAGCCAGTAAGTGCCTAAGGTCAAATTTGAACTCGGATCTTTTGGACTGGAGGCCCAGCACTCTTTCCACCTATGTGATATTATAAGACTATAGGATTTCAAGATGTAAGAAAACTTAGAGTCCAATGCTCTCCTTCTACAAATAGGAAAAATAAAGCCAAGAAGGGGGGAATGAGTTCCCAAGAGTAATTAACTATCAAAGCTAGGATTTGAACCCAAGTCCTTTCACTCTAAGTTCAGTACTGATACAAAATGTTGGACTTAGAGTCAGGAAATCTGAGTCAGAATCCAGGCTCAGATGCTATTAGCTATAAAATCATGGGCAAGTCAAATTACTCTCTCATATACTCAATTTCCTCTTCTGTAAAATGGGGGTAATATTACTCAGGTTACCTAATTTGCAGGAATGTTATAAGGAAAGTACTTTCCAAATCTTAACTTGCTGCAGAAATGTGAATTTGTTCATTTATAATTTAATGAAAAGTATTAGTTTAGAATTAATAGAACTATTATTAGTTCCACAACATCACATTGAGGTGGGTCCCACTTTTATTTCTATTCTCTCAGTTGCATAGTGCTCCAAACTTCCTGAGCCTCACCTTTAAAAACAAGAACAAGAATGGCACTGCCTATAGTAAGCTTAAGCACTACCCTTTTTTCCCCTGCCCCACCCTACCATCCCTCCAAGATCTGGTGGCACAGTATAGAGTGCTGGGCCTGAAGTCAGGAAGATCTGAGATCAAACCTGGACTCAGACACTTACTTAGCTGTGTGACCCTGGGCAAATCACTTCCCTATTTGTCTCAATTCCTTATCTGTAAAATGGGGACACACTGGAGAAGCAAATGAAAAACCCCTCCAGTATCTTTGCCAGGAAAAAGCCCATGGATGTAGTCCACGGAGTCACGAAGAGTTGGACACGGCTGAATGACTCCACAACAGCGAAGACCTTCCTCCTGCTTTCCCTCGTCTGAAGGCCTTTCCTCCCTCCTACCCACTCAGAGCACTCTTCTATAAAATTAAAACATAGATCTTTAATCCTGGGCAGTTCTCGTCCACATCGTCTCACAGAACCTCAGTAGAGGACATGTTCAACACCCTGGGGTTCTGCTGACACACACGGATACCATTGCATAATACCACATGAGCTGCCCATCTGTTATGTGCTATACTATGGCTCCATACTTAAACTACTTACTTCTCTGGTCTCTATTTTGTAAAAGGCTAAGCTGAGGACCAGTGAGGGTGAGTCATTTGTCCAAGGTTACCCAGGCAATAGATGGCAGAGCCAGGATTCCGATCCAGACACTTAGACTGCAAATTCAGTATTATTTCCACTCTATCACAGCTGTCAGTGAACACCACTAATAACCCAGTGAGGAAAATAAGGGTATTTGTAAAAAGAAAGAAATATTAGCATGATTTTTTTCCCCAGCAAAATAGAACCAGAATTGGGGATGATAGCTCTCACTGGGGGTCTTGAGGAAAAGGGTGGGTGGCTTCTTGCCAAGTATGGCGTAAAGGGGGTTCTCATCTTCTGATTCTGTGCGTAACAAGGGTTTCATAAAGCATGTAGAGAGATTCCCTACCTGCTTCCTGCTGAGCCTACCCGTGTGAATCTCATGAAACCATGGCTGCTTCTGGCCATTTGTGATTCAGTGATGAAAGGACTTGGTCCTTCCCCCACTCACCCACCCCATACAGCTGCAGGGGGACAGGGGCATGTATCCACTAAAAAGAAGAAACAGCTCCTGCCTCACTCTCTTCCTTCTACCTCTCCATTTGGCCTACATTCCTCCTCGCCATTGGCCTGCCTGCAAGAGGTGAGAATGATGGGTGACAATGCAGCATTCTTCCCTCCCCCATCTTCTTTGCTCCCACACTGAGGACGGATTCAACCAGGTGAACTTGCTCCTGGGCCTCTGGAAACACTTTTTGTGTCCTTTCCTGAGCAGGCGATCAAGTAATTTTCTCAAAGTGGATGTATCCAGGCTTGGATGCAACCCTTTTGAATTCTAGAGGTCCATACATCCTGGGTTCATTGCCTACAGCTGACCAGTGATGAGGACTGTTTCTTCATCAGAAAAAAAAATGACCACTAGCAGAAGAAATGGACCTAGAGGTTTTTGAATGGCCAGTGCAAAGAGCTATCAAAAGCCATTTGAAAAAATGTTTAGGGGCAGCTATGTGGCAGAGTGAGTAAAGCACCTGCTCTGAAGTCAGGAGGACCTGAGTTCAAATCTGGCCTCAGACCAAGCACTTGACACTTACTAGCTGTGTGACCCTGGGCAAGTCACTTAACCCCAATTGCCTTAAAAAAAAAAAGAAAAAAGAAAAAAAATGTTTAAAATCATTAATAATTAGAGGAATGGAAATTCAAGCTACTCTGAGCTTCTACCTCAAACCATCTTATTGGCAAAGCTGACAAAAGAGAAAAACAACAAATGTTGGAGGGGCTGTGGGACAATAGGAACGTGTATGCATTGGTCTAATAGCCCATCAGTTTGGAACTATGCCCTCAAAGTTACTAAACCAGGCATCCCCTTTGACCCAGCAATACCACCACAAGGCATATACCTCAAAAAGACTAAAGAGAAAAAGGACCCACATGTACCAACATATTTATAGCAACTCTTTTTGTGCTAACAAGGAACTGGAAACTAAAAAGATGCCCATCAATTTGGGATTGCTTTACAAGGCAGAGTCTACAAATTAAGGGCATATTACTATGCCCAAAGAAATTCTGAAACAGATGGTTCTCAGGGAAACCTGGGAAGACTTCTATGAACTAATGGAGGGTAAAATGAGCAGAATCATGAGAACAATTTATGACAACACTATAAAAACAAACTTTGAAGGACATAAAAACTCAGACCAATACAATGACCAGCCATGATTGCAGAGGACTGATGAAGGAGAATGCTACCCATTGCTTGACACAGGGGTGATGGACTTAATAAGCAGAATGAGACCCACATTTTTTGGACACAGCCAATATGTAAATCTGTTCAACTTGACTATACACATTTGTCACAAGGGTTTTGTTTTTCTTTCCTAGTAAGAAATACTTGTTAATTGAAAAAAATAGAAAATTTTAATTTAAAGACTAGTTTAAATCTTACCTTAGATACCTTGGACTGGTCATGATTCAATCTCAGCCAGTTTCCCCATCTCTAAAATGAGATGAGTAAGAATAGCTACTTTACAAGGTTGTTGGGAGGAGCAAGTGATTTTATGTACACACATACATATATACATACGTGTGCATGTATATATGTATGTGTATGTATATGTATATACACACATATAAAACTTGCATAATTACATATGAATGTATGTATACATGCATTATATATCTATAATATTATAATATGTATAATAAAACATAAAGTATTTAGCAAATCTTAAAGCATTATATAAATATTAGCTACTTTTGTGTCTAGGAAATAAAGCCTGTACCCTATCTTAACCCCATTATATACTGAGAGTTCTTTTACTCCCCTCCTTTGGGGAGAGCTAGCCTTGAGCCAAAATCTAAGGTTTAAAGAACGTGTCACCTGAGTACGTGGGTGGGCCCAGGAGCCAGGTACCTTTCCTTTGAGAGGCCAGGCAACCCCAGGACTGAACACTGTACTGTCCAGGTCTAGAACTGATAAAGGGCCTCTCAGTGAAGAAGAAAGGGGAACTGTGCCTCCAGTGGTTCCGACATAGATGAAAACAAGAAACTTGTTTGAACATAGCAGCATTTATTAAAGGGGTGCCTAGGGTTGGCCAGGGAGGGGGGAGGTCCAGGAGCCTGGACCTTCTGCCAGAGGCTCTTCCACTGTCCCCCCACCCTCCTAGCCTCATTGGTTCCAAAAGGGTTTTATTTTTGCCTCCTTGTTTTAAAGTAGGGAGCTGCCAGAAATTCTTTACATCAATAAAGTTATAAGCCTCTACTGCCCCCCCAAAATAATTTTTTTAATGTAGGAGAATCAATTAGTAAGTCAACAAGCATTCAATAAAAGCCTGAGAGGTGCCAACCCTCTCGGTGCCAGATGGTGAGAATGCAAAAAAAGAGCCCCAGTCCCTGCTCATCCCCAACTTCTGCTCTTTAATAAGTTAGCATGTGGACAGGTTTGCAAAGTGCTTTACAAATTTATAAATAGTATTTATTTGCTGTTGTTAATTTTCAATACATTTAATTTTATTTTAAAAATTAATTTCAATTAATTTAATTATAATGTACTATAACTTTAACTATTATATAATTTCATTAATTAAATTAATGAACTCATTTTATTCTCACATCTACTTGGAAGGTAGGTACTTTCATTTATCCTCATTTTACAAATGAAGAAAATAAGGCAGGCAGAATGTGAATTAAGTGACTTGTCCCAAGTCACACACAAGGTGTTTATGGTCAGATTTGAACGTATAAATATGATTTATTTTGTGTATTGTTATTATTTTATAATGTTTGATGTTCAAGCCGACTCTTCGTTTTCCCATTTGGGGCTTTCTAGATACTGGAGGGATTTGCCATTTCCTTCTCCAGCTCATTTTACAGATGAGGAAACTAAGTCAAACAGGGTGAAGTGACTTGCCCACCGTAGGGCGTCTCACGTCGGATCTGACCTGCGGTCCGCCAGCCTCCAGGTCGGCGCTCTCTCCACTGCGCCACCAAGCGGAACTGAAGGGGGAAGAGGGCGGGGTGAACCCGGGCGGCCAGCGGCAGGGCCCCGGCCGCCGCGATCCTCCGGCCGCCAGGGGGCGGGGCACCGCCTCTCTTCTCGCCCACCGCCCCCTCTCTTTCCCCGCCCCACTCCTGGCGAGGAAGCCGGCGCCGCGCCTGCTCAGTGGCCGCTCCGTCCTTCGCCTCTTCAGCGCGTGGCGACCCCGGCTGCGGCCGCGCGCCCGCCCGTCCCATGTCATGTCGGTGCCGATCTCGGAGGTGACGTTCCGCCGGATCCTGGCGAACTTCCCCGAGAACCTGAGCCTGGCCTTCGCCTACGGCTCCGGGGTGTACCGCCAGGCGGGGCCCAACGGCAGCCGCAAGGTGAGCCGCCCGGCCTCCGCGGGCTCCTCCCCCCGCCCGTGCCCCCATTACTCGGAGAGGGACGAGCGAGGCGGAGGGCGGGGGCAGAGCCCCAGGCCCGGCCTCCACGCCACCCGCCCGAGGTCACCCCGGGAGGAGCCCGAGTCAGAACCCCGCGCTCTTGGCTTGGCCTTGATGCCGTCGGGTCAGCAGGGCCCGGTGCACCCACCGACCTCCCGCTGTTAGGCTTTTCCTTCCTCGCCCCTCCCCCCACCCAGGTCCTCCTTCCTCCCCCCCCCCCCCCCCCCCGCCCAGCGCGTGCCCTTCCCTGGGAGAGCTTCCTGCAAATGCGCATCTTGGTGGGGCGAGCAAAAGGAAACCCCCCCCCTTGCAGTCTGCAGAAGGGAAATCTGGTAGTAAAGGGGGTGGGGGTCATTGCAGGACACCAAGTGAGGGTTTTCTTCTGTTTTCTGATTTTATCGGACACTGCCACTGTTCTGCCTTAGACTCGAGGGGGAACTTCTTTTCCAAGTAATATCTTCTGACCCTGAAAGGAAGGGAGCAAAAAAGGAAAGTAAATCCATAAAGGGCAAGAAAGGAAACTGAGGCCCATAGAGGTTAAGTGACCTGTCCAAAACGACACAAAACCACACAAACACTAAGTATCTAGGGGCAGGATTTGAATCCGGCAGGCCGTGCTGCCTCCAAACTCACACAACTAGTTAGCCCGTTTGGGATTTAAACCCAGATCATCTGCTTTGGCTCACTTGTAGGTCCTGAACAGATTTTTCTCACGGATAACTCGTGTTTACCGTGCATCCTTTCTTTTTCCTCTTAACAGAATCTCATGCTGGACTTTGTGTTTACAGTAGATGACCCAGTCACGTGGCATTCAAAGAATTTGCAACAGAACCGCAGCCACTACTCTTTCTTGAGATTTTGTGGGCCAAAAGTTATCGCCAAAGTGCAGAATAACTATGGAGCGGGAATCTACTACAATACCATGATAATGTGTGCTGGTAAGGTGAGTGACCCCGACCTTGCTTCTGATGTGGGCATTAGGCGTCTTTCTTGTCAGCATTCCTGGTTATCACAAAACTCCGTAAATCTGATTTCCAGCTACATTATGAATAAAGTAGGAAATTGATCCCACTCACTAACTACAATTATGGTTTGGGTAAGTGGTAACATGGCCTGACTGAGAAGGAATTAGGCCTCTTCCTTTGTCTTCCTATTATACTGTAAGGGTTTCCTCGCTTTAAAAAATGTTTGTTGAGATAACTGGAAAAAATAAAGTATCTGTCTTCAAGACAAATCTTTCTTCCTTCCTTCTTTACAGGTAAGATGGACACCACCCAGGGCCTTGTGGTTCACACAAAGCCAAGGGATGCCTGCCTGGTCCTTTGGTATGTCACTGGTCACTCCCTATGTGAGCACAGGCATCTTTGCTTTTGGACAGCTTGCATTGGACTAGGGGGGGTAAATCCTAAAGTAAGAGCACCTCAACCAGTGGCAAGAAACTGGAGCAGAGATTTAGCACCAAAAAGAACCTTAGTGGCCCCCTAATCCAACCCTCTCTTATGTATTTATTTTTAAGCTTCCTGTATTTTAAAGATGAGGAAACTTAGGTACAGAAAGGGGGTGATTTGACCAAGGTCTCATTGAAAGCAAATACAGAAGCAGAATTCAAACCCAGGCCCTTTCCCAGTCTAGTGCTTTTCCCTCTGCCACGTTGTTTTGTTTCATCCCCATGTGTCCTAAGTGTTCATTGCAAGTGTAAGGCTTGTGATAAGGACAAAGGAAGCCATAGCACTGTCCTGCCAGGAAAGCTGGTGTCCCAAGGGAGGCAGAGCCTGGGGAACCAGGAAGAGGCTGACCGTGGCCAGCCAGGGCACACCTAAACCCTGAGGTTGGGACCCAGCCATACCAGAGAGAAACTGGGAGCACAAGATCCAAGGGTCAAGGGGACAGCAGGATACCTTATCAATAATAGCTGACATTGATGTAGTGCTGTAAGATTTTCAAAACACTTTGGACTTTATCTCATTTGAGCTCCGCAATAACCTTGTAAGATAAGTGCTACAAATATCCCCATTTTACAGACGAGGAAAATGAAGTACAGTCACAAAATAGTATTAGAAGCAGGATACAAAGAAGTGGATTGTTGAATGAGTGAAAAAACATTTTTTAAGTGTTTACTATGTACAAACACTGAAGATATAAATAGAAAAGCAAGACAGTCCTTGCCCTTAAGAAGCTCACATTTTAATGGGGAAGACAGCAGATATATGGCTGGTTTGAGCTGCAAATCAAGGCTCCTTCAAACCTGGCATTCTGCACTAAATTGCACTGTTCACATAGAATACAGATCAGGGACTGGGGGGTTAGGGCAGGAACCAATAGGCCAAGAGCACAGCTAGAGGGTCTATTCTCGGGGGAGGGCCTTGCAGGGAAGCTGGAGCTCTTAGGGGTCTTTCTGGCAACAGGGATATCAGGAGAACTGGGGACTGAGCCACCTGTTGGCTTCAGGGCTTTCGTAGTGTCTTTTTATGGAGGGACTCACTGGGTACAAAGTTCTTTTCTTTTAGCCCTGTGAAGTGGGTTGTTTAAGTGTTATTATCTCCATTTTACAAATGAGAGAGCTAAGCCTGAGAAAGGTTAAATAATTGGTGCCCGTTACTATGCAGCTGAGCAGCAGAACTGGGACTGGAGGCCAGGACTTTGTACATTCTCTCTGCCTCCTCCAGGCCACCTTTGAAGGCAGGAATCCTTGCAAGGAAAGATGAGAGGTTTCGTAGTGAGTGAAAGGGCAGAAAGCAGAATAGTTCCTGATGAGCTTACTCTCTGTATGAGAAATAGTTTGTAAATGGGATTAAAGGTGAGTGACTGCAGATAGATTACATCCTGAAAGTCATTTCAGTGTGAAGAAATGGTCTTGATATCTGGTGTTCTTTAATGTGCCATCAGAAGTGATTCCAAAAGTCCTCCTTTTTTCATCTTACAACTATTAAAATGTGTCTATAAGGGTAGAATTCTAAGAGCTGGAAGGCATGTCAGGGATAATTTCATCCAGTGCCCTTACTTTACAGATAAGAACATAGCTGTTCTGAAGGGTGTGCCCAAGATTATATAGCTAGCTAATGGCAGAGACACAAGCAGCACCCAGATCTCCAGGCTCTCGTTTTGAGACTCTTCCCTCTTTACCACCAGCTCATTTGAAGGTGGGAGGATTGGACTAGACACTAGGGCAGGGGTGGGGAACCTGTGGCCTTCTAGGTCCTTGGGTTCAGCCTGTTGACTGAGTCCAAGTTTTACAGAACAAATCTTTTTATTAAGGGGATTTGTTCTGTGAAGTTTGGATTCAGTCTAAGGGCCGTACTTGAGGACCTAGGGGGCCACGTGGAGGAGGAGAAATTTTGCATTTTCAAAATGGAGAAGTCGAGTTCAATTTAGAAGACTAAGATTTTACTGTTCCATGAAAGCAGCAGAATCCAGTGGGAAGACACTGAACTTGGCTCAACTTTCAGCTCTACTGTTGCCTCTGTGACCATGGAGAAGCCGCTTTACCTCTTAGGCCTCGGCTTCCTTCTTTGTCACATGACCTCTTAAGCCCCTTGTGACTCTGGATCATATTGTAGCTACCATCTTTGTCATAATTAGTGATGCTTACAGCACTTCAGCCTATGTAAAGCACTTCATATGTGCATTTGCCACCACATAACAGTTACTAAAGCTATGTCTAATTACTGCTGGTTTCTGACTATTTCCAGTGACCCATTGCAGAAGCCCGTCATTCTCAGACTCCTTTAGTGTTCCAGAATAATAGCATAGAAGCCACTAAGTCACAGTAGATAAACAGTGATGAATTTGCAAGTGAGTGTCTCCAACCTGAGAGCCTTTTAAAACCTTGCAGAAGGCATTCCCACCTCCACTCTATAGTGATTTCCAGCTCTAAGCAGAGGCTGCAACAGCTGGGCATGTTATAAACCCAATAAGGCCATTACCTCCATCACTCTTGGGTTGTGTATAATCTCTCTGCCCTTCACGGTACCTATAATCTGCTTCTCTCATCATTCCTTGATATTGACAAGGAGCTAGGCAGGTGAGGAGCCTCGGCCTACCCTGTGCAGGGGTCCACACCTACTGGGGTGCTCCCTGGAGCCTGCTGCCTTTGAAGATTCTGTGCTTTAGCGATAAGTGCACTGGATTTGCTTCAGATCCTGCTGTGTCTACCTGTGTGACCTGGAGCAAGTCATTTCTCTCTTCTGGCCCTCATTTTCTTCATCTATAACATGAGCAGTTTTGATTAGATGTTCTCAGCCTTTGTTGTGTTGTGGACCCCTTCTGAGAATCATGTTTTTAAGTACATAGGATTACAAAGAAAAGCAGTTATGTTGAAATATAGCTCGTGGACCCCAGGTTAAGAATGCCTGGACTAGAATGATCTAAGGTGCCTTCCAGCTCTAAATTCTACAATACTAGAGATGTGTGTGTATTTGTGTGTGTGTGTGTGCCAGTGGGGATAAAGAGGGAACCTGTGATTTTGTTAGTATTGCAAGCTCCTGTGTGAGGAGACTCCTCTACCAAATTGAGCTGGCACCTTTCTAGATGCCTAGTACACCCAGAGGCCAAGTGACAGGGTTTCATAGCCAGCGTGTGTCAGAGATAGAATGGAGCTCTGACTTTTCCTGGCTTTGAGGCTCCTTCTCTCTGTTACATCAGAATGTCTATGCCCAAACTCCAGCTCTGCCACAGACTGTAATCTTAATGGAAATTATTTTTTTGTACCTCTAACATAGAACAGAGGTAGTCCTGAAAAGCCAGCTATAGAACCAAACACTATATTGAATCCTGTTTTCAAGTAGTTTTGACATATATGAATTTATGAAAATATATATGAATACAGCTTTAGGATAGAAATATATATTAGTTTATGGTTGACATACATGTGTATATAACTATGGACAGATAACATTACCTCCTGGACCTTGGTTTCCTCATCTTGTAAAATAGGGACACTTGTCCTATGTGCCTCCCAAATTTGTTCAAAAGAAAGCACTATGTAAATGGCAGGGAGCAGTGTAAACGTGAGTTCTCTGTATTATTTTTAGAACACGACATGGTCTCTGATCCCAGACTTCCACACTGACAAAAGGTATATTATTCCCTGTGCTCTTGGGACAGAGCGCTAAGGGTGCCCTTCAACTGGCTGTTCCTCTTGTTCAGTGTGCTAGTCTTGTTCACTTATACCACTCAGCAGGTTAAGGAAGGTCCCTTGCTTAGATTTTGTTTTTCAGAATGTCAGCTTGCTTTTTATCCTCCCCTACTCCAAGCGTGCCTGCCCTCCCACCCAGTTGATCTGCAGTGTCTCACTCAACTCGTCATTGAGACTAAGAATACCAGTGTATCACTTGTCTCCATTGTAAGTAAGCATACGAGGAAGCTCATTACATACACAAGAAGTCCGCCTTCTGTATTTTCTACCTCCATACTAAACTAAAGCCATTCTTTGTTAATATCTCCCCCTATCCCCCATCCAGTCATCCAATCAGAGGTAGTAAAATCCTCTCTCAGGGTTCTCCTGATTTCTCCTTTCAAAGACATCTGCCTGTCCACAGGCAGCTAGCCTCGCTCAGGTTTTTAGGGCTACCCCATGTGGCTGAGTCCTTTGTTCACCATTTACTTCTTTAGCTCTCTACCCAGGCCTTCTTTACTCAGATGTACTTCCACCAGCTTATGTGCCATCCCAACCCTTGCATTGTGCAACTTTGGTTAAGACATTTCTAGATCTTCACAAATGAGCAGCTGTAATTTCACATTTACATTAGGCACTTATTTAGATAGCTTTAAAGTATGTAAAGCACTTGCCCCGTAGCAACCTCGTCAGGTGGTTTCTGCCTATAACAAAAATGGGAAGCCAACGTTGGGGGAGAAGGGCTAATAGCACAGCTTATTTCTGTTTTGTTGATTTGTTTTCAGAACGTATCTGCACGGGATGACAGTTTGTTTTCACAATTAACGTTACCCTAAGCTTATCTTTAATTTGAAAACCTTTTCAAATAATTTTACAAGCCCCAGTAAGCACAACCATGCTGACATTCTTGTACACAAGATTATGGGCCAAAGAAAACAGACTTCCTAATCAAAGGTTTGTGGCTGCTTTTTGGACTTAGGAAGCCCAAGAGGAATGTTTTTGGGTAGGAGGGTATGAGTGCCGCAAGACAGCCTGGAAGGATTTGTGGCTCAAAATAGGATTATATAAACTAGGAAGGATTGTAGCCAAGGCTTATGCTCATTATCATTGAAATGAGGTTGGCCATAATTGTCAAATGTTTTAGCACTGATAAAGGGGAAATTCTGTTTGTTAGAAAAGTATTTGAAAATCCAGAGATTCAGCAGAATGTAAGTGAAAGTTTTAATGTCTTGAAAATTACAAACTGTAGTGTGGTAAATTGGCTTAAGCTAGGAGTCCTGGGTTCTAGATCTAACTCTGTGACCTTAGGAAAGTCCTTGAATCTCCTTGGGCTTCCATGCCCACCACTCTAAAAAGTCCAATGATTTGAGGTTGGACTAGGCCACCCCCAGGTTCTAAGTAAAAACCAGCAAACACTTCCTGGGGCTGGTCATTTCACTGCCGCCCCTTCTGCATGGAGATGACTTGAAGTGTGGTCAGGGGCTTATCTGGACAAGGCACTTTGAGGGTCCAGGGAAACTACCATGGATTCAACTCATGCAGTTTGTCTTTGAACGGGCTAATGGTGTGTGTTGCTCTTTTTTCTCCCACAGCTTATCAAATATGGGGTTATTAGTACTGAAACCCTAATTAACGATCTGCTCACTTGGAATACCTTATACGTTGCTGGACGTCTACAAAAGCCGGTGAGTGACTAAACTGCTTTCTCCAGAAAATATCACTGATTGTAAAACTTAGAGATGAGTTCCAGGGATCCAGGTGGCCCACCCAGCTTTGTTATTACATTTTCAGTACTTTGCTCTCTGTTTATTTGTTGAGAAAGGTGGGCTTTGTAATCACTGCAACAACCAATTCATGGAACATTTATTAAGCACCAACTGTATGCCAGGCACTGCTGATTTCTGGAGATGAGAGACAGAGGAAAACTCCCTGCCCTTAGAGAGTTTATATACCCACTTCTGCCTAAAGACTCTGCATTTCTTCCCCCTCTTCCCCCCTCCCCCCCGAACTTATTTGCCAGAGAAGCTGTTGTATCCCCCTCCTGGGATCATTTTGTTTTTGTCTTCATGGCCTCAGGAGCAAGCTCCAGCCAGGACATAGTAGGCACTTGGTAACTGCTTGTTGGATTGGATTGGTTGTAGGGTACAGTGGCAGGTAAACAGAGAAATGTGATAAAAGCCATAGGGTGTGTTAAGGGCAAAGGAGAGAACATGGAGCTTGTGAAAATGGGAGTGGGTAGAGAGCCTGACGGGGATGCTGCTATAGTCCCATGTCTGCTCGGTGTGTTCCATGGAAATGTTCCACCTGTGTCTCAGGGAAATCGGCAGATTTGCCCCATAACTTAGCATCTGTGTCAATGGAGCTTTCTTTCATTTAGGTTCAATAACATGTAAAGTGCAGAAAGGACTAGATGAAAAGCATGGCCATGACTGGAGGGGAGCCTCACCTGGTGTAAAAGGAGGAAGGAGATAGTTCAGCCAACCTCACGACTGCTGGTAGAGCAGCTGCCTTGTGGCCTCACTGGCCTGTCCTTTGGGAGACTCCCGGTGCGTAGGAGGTGGGGAAGACTGAGAATTTACTGCGTGTCAGCTCCAGTGACTGACCTGGGTCTTTCGCTCCTGTCTCCCTTTGTGATGTGGTGCCCCCAGAGTGTAGGCACGAGCTCATTTGCTATCTCTTGTGTCCTGGATATCTTCCGTGATCCAGTCTGGCCTGTGCTTCTCTCCACTCAGAACACAGGAACCATCCAAGAGGGGGTCTGAGCATTGACAATACATCCTGCAGATTCAGCCTAAAGCTGCGTGTGGGACTGACTCCACGGCTAAGCTCAGTTTCCTAGTATTGTGGAAGATAACAGACATCTTCCTGTTATGGGCCCTTTGACACGTACAGTAAAAACATAAATCCAGACAAGTAGAAGAAGCCAGCTTGTGTTAATAAAAATGAAGTGTAAAAGTAAGTATTCCTCAGTTGTTAGAACCGAATTCATCCCTTTACAAAGAAGAAAATGATTGTGAGCAATCCCCAGGAGTCAGGAAAATGGCTGAGTCTCTGAATATGAGTCCTGCCCCTAGGTGGCAGCACATGGAGCTTGAGCCGGCTGGTGACCTCCCCACAATGGAACCTAGACCTGCGGAGAGCATGGCTGGTGGTGAAAGGACTCCGAGGACAGGCTTGTTCGCAGTTCTTTGTGAGGGGAAAGAGACTGAATTCAGCTATTTTGGCTCAAATGATTCTGCTGTCTTAGATTCTTGCCTTAGAGCTTGTTGAACAGATAGGAGGCTTGGGAGCTTTGGAAATGTAAGACAAAAAGGCGTGTCTGGAAGCATCTGGTTGAACAGAATCTAGTGTTTTAGAAAAGCGAGGTTTGAATTGGATTTTGTTGCTTAAAACACATTTTGCCCTTTGACTCTAATTTCAGAGATGGTTTATTTTTGCTTTCGTTTGGTCTTCTTTTGGCAAGGGTTCCTTATACTAGCCTGAAATTTCTCAGCCTGCTGTCCTTTTTGTCAAGAAAAAAATATAAACAAATTTAAATGTTCAAAAAAATGTGTTGAATCTTTTTGTAAATCAATCCTTCACTAATGTGAAGAATCATCACCTAATTTGTCTGGTTTTTTAATTTTGGGAGATGTGTGGGTTGTTTTTTTTTCTATAATGGGAAATTTTTTTCCCCCAAAATAACTGTTTTTGACATATTCTGCTGAAATGACTTGTTCAAGTGCTAGATATTTCATAGAATCAAAATTTTTGAGCTCCAGGAAGACTTTGGAAGTCGGCTAGTCTAATTATCATTCTAAGATCCAGAGATTGTAAGGCTAGTCTAATTATCATTCTAAGATCCAGAGATTGTAAAGGGACATTCCCATTTAAGATGCCAGTCCAGTTAAATTCGTTCATTCAACTGGGTATCTAATGAGTTATATTTTCCTTCTTTTACCTGATAATATGTAGCTTTTGTGACTTTCCCTATTTAGGTAGAAAAATCTCAGTAATAAGTACAAAGAGCATCGTCCCCAAGAGTGGTAAGAGGTGGGGAGTAAAGAGACCAGGACTTCAGGTCGAGATTCTGTCCCACCAGCAATGGGACCTTGACTGTTACTTCTTCTGTCTCTTCCTCAGTCTTGTAGATGGTCTCTGAGATCCCATCTAGTCCTAAAATCCTCCCTTAGTAAAGCTTTTGTCCTTCAATTAGAATCTTAAGCAGTTTTGCTCTTGGTCTAAATGGAAAAGTCCTGAGCAGTGAAGCTGTTTACTTAGTGGTTAGGAATTGGACACTCGCTTGGGCTTGGGCTTTAGTGGTCTTGATGGCTAAAGCATTGTTGCTCTTTGAGCCAAGCCGTTCACGTAACGAGGTTGAAGAGGAAACCAAGTGTGGCTTTTCCCTTTTCCTGTGCTAAGACGTGCACACCCATCTCTTAGTTCACTTTTTTAAATACCCCCAAGTAGAGTAGTCTCACCCTCCCTCAGAGACGTTCTGTGTTCCCCAGGCAGTTCAGGTCAGGACATCTCTAATGAGATACAAACAGCTATTCACAAATAGGAGAACTGGGGTTTTTCCTAGGCCTCTTGGACAGTGCCTCAGGAGGTCACTGGCTTTTCACTCTGAACACCCCACGGCAGTGTTGGTAAGCCAAGTTCCCATTTCACCCGACATTGAAAAATTAGATGCACACAATGGCAGAGTGATCTAAATTTGGCTCTGTAAGTACAGATGCTTTATTTTTCACAATCTTAACCTTTAAAAAAAATTTGTGATTATCCCTAATTCAAAAGAAAACTTATAGAATAAACTGGTATTTGTTCAGCAATGTTAAACATCAACAACAACAACAAAAATCTCTCCCCAAAAGTACTACCTTGTTTTGTTTATCTAATGTTAACAAATTAAATATCTTAGTGTCATTGAGTTTGTGAAGGAATAAGGCAAAAGAGAAACCAAGGGAGGCAGCATGATGTCGTAGGAAGTTAACAGGGTTATAAATCGGGAGCCTGACTTCTGGTGCCTGCCTACTCTTCCCAGTTGTCTGGCTTAGAGCCAGCCTCCCCAGCACTCTGTTTGAGTATAGGGTACTCATCTGTAAGGTAAAATTTAAGGTTAGAATCCACTTCCAAGCAGCCTGCCAGCTCTAACTCTGTGAGCCTGAACCTGATTTGGAAACGCAGGCTGTTATCCTGACTTTTCCAACTGATTCATATGTCCTTAGGCAAATGGCACTTTGAGTCTATTACTTGGTTTTGCTATTTGTTAAGTGGTTGCTTTTAAATCCTGGTAATTGCATAAGTATCTTTTAAGATTGTCTCATTGTGGCCTGGAGGTGACAAAATTTTTGCCAGGAAAATACAAGTTCTGGCAGGCCCCACCAAGCTGAGAAAGCTTTAAATATGAGCCCGGCAAAGAACTCAGAGGCTCAGTCTAGTTAAAGTTCAGAGAAGTTCATCATTAGAAGGTCATCCTCCAGTCTAAGTTGAATTTTTTCAAACACACTAACTCCTGCAATCTGTTTACTAAGATATTGAGAGGATTCTTATTTGAGTCAGTGAAGGGAGTATCTATGTCAGTGAAATCCCAGGTCCCAAATTACAGGAAAGGCACAAGGAAAGGGCAAGGTAATATAATAACAATAATAGCTAGCATTTCAACTGTCTAACTCTTTAAGGTTTATAAAGCACTCTACAAACATCCTCACAACTTTAGGAGGTAGGTACTGTTACTATTTTCATTTCATACTGTGAGGAAACTGAAGTTAAGTTACTTGCTCAGGGTCACACGGTTGTTATTTGAGGCACTATTGGAACTCAGAACTTCTGACTCCGGATCCAGTGCTTTATCCAGTCTGCCACCTAGCAGTAGTTTATTATTGTAAAACAATTTTTTTCTTTTAAAAAAATTCTATATATTTTTATACTAAACTTTGTATCTGTGTTTTCTGTCCTCCTATGACAAGTTCAAATAAAAGTGAGCTAGGCCACCCCTTCCTCCTTATTTATGTAGCCTTTTACTTTTATGCCCATTTGTATGAGCCTGTAAGTCCTACCCTCTCCACCCTGAGCCCCTTCCTTCCTTGACTAGTGGATTCTTTCCTCCTCGAAAGCCTTTTGTTTCCTTGAACTTCCTCTTTAACCCTTGTTGACAGTGGGGTTCTGAGCTGACACTTGTCACTGCTTCTTCATTAAAGTACAAACACTCCATCCTTGTGTAGTCCTTTCTAATTGCTCAGACATTTTTGACTATTTTTCCTGAACTCCTTTATTTGCATTTCAGAGTTTCTACTCAGCTCTGATCTTTTTATCAGAAAGGTTTAGAAGTATTCTATTTTAAAGGTCCATATTTCCCTGTAGGATTATCTTCACTTTTGCCAAGTAAGTTATTCTTGGTGCAAACCTGTCTTTTTGCCTTTTGGAATATCTTCTTCCAGGGTCACCACTTCTTTTTTTTAATGGTAGCTGCTAAATCTGTGTGATCCTGACTAGCTCCTCAGTGTTTAACTCATTCTAGCTGTTTGTAGTATTTCTTATCTGGCCTGGAAGCTCTGAATTTTGGCTATAACTTTCCTGGGAGTTTTGTTTTGTGATTTCTTTCAGGTAGGTGATTAGGGGATTCTTTCTGTTGCTACTTCCCCCCCGCCCTCCCCTAAGAGATCCTGATCAGTTTTCTTTTATGATTTCTTGAACTACATCTGAGTTCTTTTCTTTTTTTTTTTTTGATCATGGCTTTCAGGTAGTCCAATGATTCTTAAATTGTGTCTATCTGTTTTCCATGTCAGTCTTTGATATGAGGTACCTTATATTTTCTTCTTTTTCATTATTGAAAAATTAAAATCATTTTCATTAGCATTATTGTTAGGATGTTGTCTTATGACAGGATCGATCTCCTGTTGGCCTTGGATGGGGGAATTTGACATCTAATCACAATCTTGGTCATCTTAATTAATTTGATTCTTCTTTACTGTAGGAATGGCAGGGTCTAGCTTCAAAATGAAAGGGTTTTTTTGTTTTGTTTTTCAAAAATAATTCATTGAGGCACATTTATTAAGTGCCTGCTCTGTGCCAGGCAGTGTGCTAAATTCTGGGCATACAAAAGACAGTCCTTTCAGAAAAACCTAGAAAGACTTGAATGGACTGATGCTGAGTGAAGGGAGCAGAACCAGAGAATGTTGTACACAGTAATAGCCACATTGTGCGATGACTGACTTTTGATAGACTTGGCTCTTCTCAGCAATGCAAGGAGCTAAGACACCTCCAAAAGTCTCATGATGGAAAATGCTGTTCACATCCAGAGAAAGAACTATGGAGTTTGAATGCAGATCGAAGCATATTATTTACCCATTTTTTTCTTCTGTTTTGTTTTGTTTCTTTCTTGTGGTTCCTCCTATTGGTTCTAATTCTTCTTGCCAATTTTCCAACTAATGTGAAAATTAAAAAAAAAAAAAGATAGTCCCTGCCCTCAAGGAGGGTACATTCTTAACAGGGGAGACAACGTGCAGACAAGTCTATTCAAAGTAAGCTTTATACAGGATAAAAAGGAAACAGTTAACAGAGGGAGGGCACTGGAATGAAGAGAGGTTGGAGAAGGCTTCCTGTAGAAGGTGGGATTTTATTGGGACTCAAAGGAAGCCTGGGAGATCAGTAATGGGAGTGGAGAAGAAGGAAGAGCATTTCAGGCACAGGAGTCAGCCAGAGAGAATTCCTGGAGCCCAGAGATGGGGTGTCATTTGGGGAATAGCCAAGAGGCTAATGTTGTTGAATGGAAGAGTACATGTTGGGGGAGTAAGGCGTGAGAAGAGTGGAAAGGTAGGTGGAGGCTAGGTTATGAAGGGCTTTGAATGCCAAACAGAGCATTATGTATTTGCACCTGCAGGCAATAGGGAGTCACTGGAGTTTATTGAGTAGGAAGGTGACAGGGTGAGACATGCATTTTGGGAAGATCACTTTGGTGGCTAAGTAGAGGAAGGATTGGAGTGTGTAAACTTGAGGTAGGAAGACCCACCAGCAGGCTATAGCAGTAATCTGGGTGCAGGGTGAGGAGGGCCTGCATAAGGGAGAGGGAGGTGTCAGAGGAGAGAAGGGGGCTTTTTGGAGAGATGTTGCAAAGGTGAAATCGACAGGGCTTGGCAACAGCTTAGATATGGAGAGTGAGAGATTGTGAGGAATCCAGAATCACTCCTAGGTTGTGAGCCCAAAGGACTGGGATGATGGTGTTGCCCACTATAATAACAGGGAAGATAGGAGGGGTAGAGGGTTTAGGGGGAAGATAATGAGTTTAACTTTTGGACATGTTGAGTTTAGGATATTGGACATCCAGGTTGATATGTCTGAAAGGCAGTTGGAGATTCGAGATTGGAGGTCAGCAGAAGATGGGGCAGGCAAGGTAAGTAGATCTGGGAATCATTAGCATACAGTTGATAATTAAATCCACTAGAGCCAATGAAATCACCAAGGTCAGCAGTATAGAGGGCAAGAGAAGGGGACCCCAGGACAGAATCCTGAGGGCCACCTACGGGTGAAGAGCATGATCTGGAAGAGGATCCAGCAAAGGAGACCAAGGAGGAGCCAGATAGGCAGGAGGAGAACCAGGAGAGGGTGTCTAGAAAATCTAGAGAGAAGAGAGTGTCAGGGAGGGGAGAGTGATCGACAGTGTCAAAGGCAGAGAGGTCAGGGAGAATGAGGATTGAGAAGAGGCCCTTAGATTGGGCAACTAAGAGATCACTGGTAAGTTTGGAGAAAGCAGCTACGGGAGAGTGACTGGATCAGAAGCCAGATGGTGAGGGGTTAGGAAGAAAGAGGAGTGAAAGCGGAGGCATCTGTTGTAGGTGGCCTTTTCAAGTGTAGCTACAAAGGGAAGAAGAGAAATAGAATGATGGTTAGCAGGATCGGAAGGATCAGGTGAGGGTTTTTGAGAATATAATAGCTTGGGGCAACTAGGTGGTACAATGGACAGAGCACCAGCCCTGGAATCAGGAGGACCTGAGTTCAAATCTGGCCTCAGATACTTGATGCTTACTAGCTGTGTGACCCTGGGCAAGTCACTTAACTCCGATTGCCTCACCAAAAAGCAAAAACAAACCAAAACGAGAATAATGATAGGTAGCATTTACATAGCACTTTAAGGTTTGCAAAGCACTTTACAAATATTACCTCATTGGGTCCTCTCAACAGTCCAAGGCGGTTGGTGCTGTTATGATCCCTATTTTACAGATGAGGAAACTGAAACAAACCAAGGTTAGTGACTTATCCATAATCACACAGCTAGGAAGCGGGGGGGGGGCACAATTTGTGTTTCAGTCTGACTTCTGTCCAAGTGTTCTCTCTCCTCTGTGGTACGACCTACTGTTTTGTAAATTCAGAACTTTGGCCAATCCTACACTGCTTGTTTGAGGATGTAACTTGAAGGATGTCATGCTGGTTATATCTCACTGCTCTTTTAAAATTTTATTTTGAATGTAAACACCAAAAAAAGAACATTCCCATGCACATAGCAGAAGATAAAAAGAGGATTTCCTGTATATCCGTTTCGTACTACTTGATTTTTTGTTTTGTTTTGTTTTTTGAGGCAATCAGGGTCTTGTGACTTGCCCAGGGTCTCATAGCTAGTAAGTGCCAAGTGTCCAGCCAGATTTGAACTCAGATCCTCCTGATTCCAAGTGCTCGATCCATTTTGCCACCCAGCTGCCCCACACTGCTTGCTTTTTATAAAATATGTAATGCATTCTTCATATTACTTTACAGCTGTCCTAATTGTCTGCAGTTTCTTCTGAACTTCTGCTCTCACACTGGTTGGTGTAGAAGTACAGCCAGTGAAGGGGGTGGGGTGGGAGAGGCACAGTTCAGGGAAGAAAGAAACAAGCTTCTGGGTCCTGAAGAAAGGAGCGAGAGGGGGAGGAGAAAGGAGAGACGCAGACCACGTCACCAGCCCTTGTGCCCTTGTCCACCCTCAGGTGAGAATCTTGAGTTTGAAGGAGGACACTGTGCTCCGGGCAGCCCTGGAATCAAACCTGGAGAGTGCCGTCACAGCTGCTTTTCTCATGCTCCCAGAAAGCTTCTCCGAGGAAGACCTCTTTGTGCAGATCGCCGGCCTCTCCTACTCCGGTTAGTGTGTGCTCGCTGCCAGGCAGGTGAGCGAGGCCTGGACTTGGTGGAGCTGTCTCAGCTTTTCAGGTGCCTCCCCAACCCTGGGCTGCGGCAGCCTCTGAGGCCTAGGTCAGGCGTGAGGCCTGATCGCAGCAGAGGCTTGTGGCCTCACCACCCTTCTTCTCCCACGTGCTACTGCGTCTGCCTTTCACTCCTGTCAGTGCATACACACCATCAGGGACCATGCCTCTTCCAACCTTATTTCCCATTATTCCAATACATCCCCTTGGTTCTTGTGGTTTTCTTACTCTCCCTTACACACATTCTGCCTGCATACCTTTCTCTTGATTTGGAGGCCACCGAGATGATACAGTGAGTAGAGCAGTGGGCCTGGAGGCAGAAAGATCTGAGTTTAAATCTAGCCTCAGACACTAAGCTCTGTGACCTTAGACAAGTCTTTTAGCTTTTGCCTCAGTTTCCTTAACTGTAAAATGAGGGTGACAATAACAGCACCTACCTCCTAGGATTATTGTGAGAGTCAGATAATCCTTTGATTATTTGTCAAGTGCTTAGCACATAGTAGGAGCTATATAAATAAATGTTTGTTCTTCTCCCCCCCCCCAGCCCAGTTACAGTGTGATATGGTTGGGTGGTCTTTAGCTTTAGAATCAGGAAACCTGGTCTTAAATAAATATATACAAGGTAATTTCAGGAGGAGATCAGGAACCAGCCTCATGTAGGAAGTGGTACCTGAGCTTGACTTTAAAAGAGGTTCAGGATTCTGTGAGATAGAGCTGAAAAGGTAGTAAATTCTCATTGTAGGGGGCCCACCACCCAAGCAGCAAGGCAGGAGGCAGAATGTTATGCAGCTAGTAGGCCTGTTTAATTGGAAAAGGGGGACAAAAAGAGGGGTAATACAGAATAAGTCTGAAGAGCAGGTGGCAGGTCTTGTATTTTAGCCCCAAGGCAGGAGGGAGCCACTAACGGTCTTTAAAGGAGTGAGGGTTGGGAAGACTTCCTTTCTCTGAGATTTGGACCCAGGAGGATGGATAATGTCCCTCCTAGCTCCGAATCCTGGGGCCCTCCATTCTAGAGAACCTCTTTTGCTTCCACCTGCTTACCTGTATACCCTTTAAGGGCCATTCAGACTCCTCCTAAGTGAAGCCTTCCAGATGGCCTTGGGTTCAGTTAGACCCCATTCTTTTTCATTTCTCTTCAAGCACATAGAATGTGTACCCCGTACAGGTTAGCTGCTAATTATCCTGACTCATCATAATTAGAGCTGTTGCTCACAGTTTCATTCATTAGCACATATTCCTCATCAGTAAAATGAGATGGCTGCACGTGATGATGTCCAAGGGCCCTTTCAGCTCTAAATGCCACAGTCCTGGGTGATCTCTCCCTCCAGAGAATAAGCTCCCTGAGGACAGATGCCCTGGGGGGCAGCTTTCTGTGATGTGCCCCACAACAGCACATATAGGTGTCCACCTCTCATGCTTTCCTTCCTCGGTTTCAATAAGCCCAGTCTGAATTCATGTGGGGCAGGCAGATGAACCACAGTTGCATGTTTTCTGTTGCTTCTGGCGTCTCCCAGAATCCAGAAGCACTGATGTCTTATGTAACTTCTATCTTTCTAGGCTAAAAAAAAAGAAAAAAAGCTATCTTAGAACACAGTGACATTGATAGTGTTAAAGACAGAAACCTGGGTCAGATTAGATGGCCCGAAATCAGGGTGGCCACATGAATTTGACCAGGACTGTCATCACTGCTGCTATTGTATGGAACCTTAAGGTCGACCAGGAATGGCTTTCATGTCAGATTAGAGAACAGACTTATTCTGGTGGCAGATTCTAAGCTTTTTCTAGGAATGAGACAAAACAGGAAGCTGTCAGTTCTGTGCCTGTGAGAGGGCACATCCAGTGTGCACACATGTCCACATCTCTGAGAGAAACACTTTGCTTTTCACCTTGATGACAGTTTGTTTTCTAGACTCATAGACCTAGAACTCTAAGATACTTTGGAGGAACAAGGCCCAGAGAGTTAAAGTGGATTGCCCCAGACCATAAGGCAGAGCTTTGAGCTCAGGTCTCCTAACTCAAACCCAGCGCTCATCCACTGTGTGCTGCCTCCTTCTGTCTCATCATCCTATTTGACACTTCAGATGCTGCCGTTAATTGACTTATTCTGAACTGAGCATCTGTTTTAAAGGGTATTTCTTAGTAAATTTGTCTTTTTTGGCAAAGCTGAGCCTTTGCTAAGCTCCCAAATGAAGCCCTTTTTTTTTCCAGCGTTACTTGTTAATTTGTCATTTTTAGGGTATGGTAGAAGAGTACTTTGCCAAGCAGACTCAGTAAATCAGCAGGAATTCATTCGCTCTAGACCTGATACAGGTGAAAGCCCTTCCCCACAAAAAGACCTTTTAGTTTTTTGCATTCCCACACCCATGAGGAAGGGAAAGAAAAACAGATTCTAGACCATGTTGATATTCGCATCAACCATTTCTTTCCCGAATCCTTCCCACACTTGATGTCCTCTCTAGAGCAGTAGGAATGTTTTAAGTAAGATGAGGCAATGCTTCAAGCTTTGCTAGAAACCCTGGCTTACATTGGCTTTGTCCAGATGAGAATTAGTTTGCCACACTAGCTTATGTTTTCCTGAAGTGTTTCAGTTTTGAGTGATAGAGATGTAGTAAAATTATTGGAACATAAAAAAATAAACTCAGAAAAACTAGCCACTCGTTGCTTATCTGTTGTGATAATGAAAGACACTGACTTTCGTGTTCCCACCCAAGGCAGAGTCACAAGGTGAGCTAACCAGGAATATCTCCGAATGTGCGTGTGGTTGCTGCTGAGCATCTGTCTTGGGTGCATTCCCAAATCGCATGTGATTGGGCTTTTACATTGCCCAGTGTCTTGTAGTCGGGGGTTTCCCTAGTGTGAATAATGGGAGGTAACAGTACAATTGAAGCATAAACACCAGTTTGCAGTATTTCTGTGATACTACCTTTGGTTGCCTGTGGGTCTCTGGAAATGAAAAGCTGCGTCTGATGTTTACTGATGGTCAACACTGTCTGTAGGCTTCTTCATTTATTTGATTCAGAGAAGACCAGTAATTAAGCCATGCTTTCTTAATGACATCTGTTGGTAGCTGAGCCACATATCTGTAAGCTTTTTTGCCCAGCAGCAGTTTAGAGAAAATGATTCCAGTTCTATAAAATGTCTTCCTACCGCTGCCTTCATTCACTCTTCTGGGACATTAGTTATTTTAGTTTTACATGTTGCTTTAAAAAAAGTACGACCTATGAAGTCTGAGATCTTTTCTTTGTGAAAACTTTGTGGTTTTGTTTTGTAGACTGAAGGGGAAAGGAGAAGAAGAAGAGCGCTTAGAATTCAGTATTGTTGATTGGGCCATTGATTTCAGAGTTTGGGTTGGGGGCACAGTCATTCACTGCATCTTCTCTTCTCCTTCTAGTCTTTTTTCCCCCTGAGGCAACAGAGTTAAGTGACTTGCCCAGGGTCACACAGCTAGCCCCTTCTAATCTTCATCCTCCTTGTACTTTGACCGTTTTTCAGCCAGAGAAAGAAGGAATTATTTTGGTAGAGAAGCCTCCGAGTGGACATGAAGATGAACGCCCATTTATGTGTTGTAGCCTTGGGTTTTTGCTTTGTGGGTTCTCATCAAGGGCTTTTTCCTTTTGTTCTGCCTAGGTGACTTTCGGATGCTGTTGGGAGAGGAGAAGGCGAAGGTGGTCAACATTGTGAAGCCCAATATTCCTCATTTTCGTGAGCTGTATGGTCAGATACTCTTCAAGAACCCCCAGGTGTTATACAAGGAAAATCAAGGCCGACTAGAGGTAGTGTGTTTGTACTTCAGTCTGGGTATTCCTCCCACATGTGCAGAGCACAGCCTCTCTTTGACATAGTAGCTGGCCTTCAGGATTTCCTGCGGCCCAAAAATGTGTCACCTTTACCCAGCCTGGTGATGAGTCTCTCCAGCTTGGTAGGACTTGGCAGAGCTTGAGAAGGCAAGCAGTATGATACCTGTGATACATGTGAAGTCATGCAGAACATTTCTGTAGTAGACATGCTGCAAAAAAAAAAAGGCAAGAATCATAAAGTAAGTGAAGAAAGTCTGCTTCAGTCTGCACTCAGAGTTCATCAGTTCTTTCTCGGGAAGTATTAGATAGCGTTTTTCATCATGTGACAGCATATTCAGATGGATCTGTGGTGTCATTGGTGTGGTACTCCTAGCACTGTTACAGATTGTAATATAATCATTAAATATATTTTTTTAGAAAGAGAATGGACTTCTTCTTAGCTAGTGAACTCCCTCATTAGATGTATTCAGAGATTTATGTCCATCCATCAGGGATGCTATAAAGAACCACCCTTCATTGCATTTGGAAATTAGCCTAGACCAGCATTTCTCAGAAAATTCTTGGATACACGAGGGGCTTCTTTAAAGGCAGAAGTTGTAATGGAAGATGAGCATCTACCCAACTCTGCCTCCTTTGCTCTCCACGTCACCTGCAGGCAGTGGAGGGAACCTTGGAAATGGGTTGAAATTGATCCCATTGCGGATGGATCACTTGGTTTCTGTTAGTTGAGAATCAGTCTTTAAATATGTCCATTAAAAATGGCTCGCAGTTATTTGATGGTCAGTCTCTCTCAGCGTAGTGCATGCAAGTTAAGCAATATCCACTTACATTCATAGATGTTATTGTGGCAGTGCAATTCATGGATTCAAGTAAAACTTGGGAATTTGAGTAGTCAAGATAACCAAAGCATTAGTAACCAAGGTTATGGTAATGAGATTAGTGACTACAGATGGTTTTTAAATACAGAATCCAGATAACAGTGCCCACCTTACAGGGTTGTTGTGAGGATGAAATGAGGTATTTGTGAATTGCTTTGCAAGCTTGAAAGTGCTATATAAATGCTATTTGGGTTTGCTGCTAATGATCAGGATGTGAAGTGTGTTATACCACCATATTTTTAAAAAATACTTACATGTTTCTAAGTTACAAAAGCATTTACAAACAAAACTCAGTTCTTTAAAGCAGAATGTGATGATTCCTAAACACTGTTGCTAGGTAAACTATAATACATTGTCTTCTTCAAAAGAAAGGAGTGGTATTAGTTACTTTCCATCAGTTCTTTATGTTTCAAGATGAGAAGATGTGACTAGGTTGCCATATGTACTGTTAGAGGGAGTACTGCCTGTGCCAATGAGATCACAGATGTACCAAAGAGGAGAATTCCTGAGGAGAATTAATACATTAGGCCCAAGTAAAGGGCGAACCCTCAGGCTCCGTGGACCAACTGTCCTGGTTCCTGAATCTCTCTACTCATTCCCATTGAGTAAAACAGTTCTCAGGTTAATGTCACTGAATACTGAGCCCAGCAGAGGTGAAAGCACGTGTGGACTGGGGGTCAGGCAGCCTGGGCACTAGTCCCAGCTCTTCTCCTAACTTGTCATGTGACTTTAGACAAATCTTTTCATCTCTCTGGATCTTAGCCTCCTCATCTGACCAATGAGAAGGCTAACCAACTGAGCATAAGCCCTCTGCCAACCCTAATCTGCAATAGGCCCATGATGTGTAAGAATAAGTTATTATGTAACCATCCTCCTGGTTGGAAAAAAAAAAGTCCTGTCTCATTGTGATATGTAGGTGACTCTGGGTTCTTGGAGTCTCTGCCCACCGAGCGCAGGGCCCTGGCAAATCTACCAAACTGGAAAGGCTTCAGATACAGGCCTGATGATAGACTGTGTGTCTCTTGTCCTAGAACCAGCCTAGCTTAGCTCAGAGAAGCTCATTACCTAGAGAGCTGTAGGGTGATGACTTTTTTGGCCACAGCTTCCCCTGAAGACCATCTACTAATGTATGGAGGGAGAGCTCACCCCCATGAAATCCCAGGCCCTCAAGTACAGAAGCATTAATTGGTCATGACATTGGTTCTGAATGGATTCTTTTCAGCAGGGTTCTTTCACCTAGACCAGTGATGGGAGCATATGTTTATATGCACTTGTAAACTCAGAGCGTTAGAGCCAGAAGGGACCTTAAATATCTTAGAGTCCAGGCTCTTCACTTTGCAGCTGGCAAAACTATAGCCCAGAGTGAGAAATAACTTACTTTACCAAGCAGATACCAAGCCTTGGCCGGCTTACCCCACTCAGAATTGTTTGTTAGATCATTCTCTACCCAAGAAGTACACAGAGAGCGAAATAAGGCAGATAAGCATTTTTCAGTGCTTGGATTTTTGTCATTTGAATGGTTCATATTTAAACTTATTTAAGCATGATTTAATAGTGTGGACTCATTTAAGATGGCTCATTTAGGATGATTTTAATCAGGACTAATATTCTTAAAATAATAGACTCAGCATTCTCTGTATTGAAGAATCATTGAACCAAATATGGAATAAATCTCCAAATAAGACTCTAAAATTCAAATTATTTCTATTTGATTTTAAAACCACAATGTAGTATGAATTTGAAGAAAGTAATAATAATAATAATAATACATGTGTTTGATTTCCTCTTACAGAATCCTTCTGCTTGTGAAGATCCATTGCTTTTATGGTGTTTTAAAAAGTTATTTGGTTGTGGTTAATGTGTGTATGGTGGTGTTCTGCTGAATTTTCTTTACATCTTTTTGTCTAGGGTTTTCCATAGCTCTTTATGGTCTTCCCATTTGCCCCTTTTTGCAACACAGTAGTACTCCACTCTATTAACATGCCACGATTTATTTAACCATCCCACAATCATTAGACACTTGGATTTTTTTCTAGTTTTTCACTGTTACACATAAAGAGAGCTGTGTTGATTTTCAGCAAGGGCATAAAACTGAAAATTTTCACTGTGGTTTGTCCTTTACATGTTATAATTTCTTTACTAAATTTGTGATTTTGTTCTGTTCTATATATGGAGAAGAAACAGTTATTAATTAGCACTTAGATAAATCTCTCATGTCACACTGGAGATGGCAACTTCAGGCCTGCCCGTCCTATCCATGTCCTTCCATAAGTTTGCCATGGGGATCCACCCAACATGTTTGATAGAGGCGTTGCTCAATTTTTCTTACTACTGTAAGGTATCATTGATATATGTGGGCAATACAGAGAATGCTGAGTCTATTATTTTAAGAATATTAGTCCTGATTAAAATCGTCCTAAATGAGCCATCTTAAATGAGTCCACACTATTAAATCATGCTTAAATAAGTTTAAATATGAACCATTCAAACGACAAAAATCCAAGCACTGAAAAATGCTTATCTGCCTTATTTCGCTCTCTGTGTACTTCTTGGGTAGAGAATGATCTAACAAACAATTCTGAGTGGGGTAAGCCGGCCAAGGCTTGGTATCTGCTTGGTAAAGTAAGTTATTTCTCACTCTGGGCTATAGTTTTGCCAGCTGCAAAGTGAAGAGCCTGGACTCTAAGATATTTAAGGTCCCTTCTGGCTCTAACGCTCTGAGTTTACAAGTGCATATAAACATATGCTCCCATCACTGGTCTAGGTGAAAGAACCCTGCTGAAAAGAATCCATTCAGAACCAATGTCATGACCAATTAATGCTTCTGTACTTGAGGGCCTGGGATTTCATGGGGGTGAGCTCTCCCTCCATACATTAGTAGATGGTCTTCAAGGGAAGCTGTGGCCAAAAAAGTCATCACCCTACAGCTCTCTAGGTGATGAGCTTCTCTGAGCTAAGCTAGGCTGGTTCTAGGACAAGAGACACACAGTCTATCATCAGGCCTGTATCTGAAGCCTTTCCAGTTTGGTAGATTTGCCAGGGCCCTGCGCTCGGTGGGCAGAGACTCCAGCAGTTGACCCTCATTTTACTGTATGACTAATCCGTCTTTCTGGTCAAGCATTTCTCTGATGATATCTATTACTCTGGTTTAATCAGTTAAGTAAAAAATTCAGGAAGAATGAATAATTTTTAAAAATTAGAGTATGACTATTGATCTCTTATCTTTGAAGTCATATTTCTCTTCAGAAATCCGGTTTTATTAATTCATTCGGCAAATACTAAACACCTACTATTTATATGACAAAGTTATTCCTTGGTGCTGTAGTGTTCTGGTAATAAGTTAGGCACTGGCCATATGCTCCAGGAATTTGTGGTCCCTACAGGAGCCTTACAATCTAGTCAGTTTTGTGATAGCTGAGGGGTATAGTCACTGCACTCCTGGTCTGCGCTCTGGTCTTTGACGTAGTACCCTGCAGCTGCACACACTAGCGCTCCTCTTTGCTTTGGAACTGTGACCAGAGCCACTGCTCCCTTGTGACCAACCACCAGTGCTCCTGTCCGTCCTGGGACTGCAGCCCAGAACTGGGTAAGCGCAATAGAGTTGTACCCAGCGCAGCCAAGGGTTCCCTCTAATCTCCCTCTGAGCTCTTGTCAGACCCCCTCATCATCTCTGGGCTGACAGCCTCCAAGCTGCTGCTGCTGCCACCACCACCACCAAGTGTGTGGGCTCCAGACGGACCTCCACCCCAGTATTACAGACTTCTCCTGCCTACCTGTTAAGCTTTCTTAGGCCGGGAAAATATCTCACTCCAACTTTTTATTGTCTCCACCACTCTAAAATTTGATTTGAGGTGTTATTTTAGGTTGTTTGGAGGGGAATATTGGGAAAATTTAGCTAGCTGGCTCCCCCTAATTCACCATCTTGGTTCCACCCTACCTGAAATACAGTATTTAAGAAAATAATAATCAGTTCCAAGTGTCAGGTACCTAGTAAACCATGATGTCAGTTGTCTTAACCTTAAACCTAAAGAACAGAACAAAAACTGGCCTTTGGAAGGAAAGTATCTTTTTTTTCTGTAGATTTGAAACAATATGGAAAAACAGCTTTATTGAAGGGTCCCCATAATTCCCTACATTTCTGCACTCCACCTGGGAGTCTTATTCTGAGGGGTGGTGTTTGCATGTTTGACAGAATAGCTTCTAGATTGACTTCAGAACACTTCCCTGATTGACTTTTTCATTATTATTATTGTTGTTATTATTAACTCAGATAGATAAAAGCCCAGAAGCCCAATTCACTCAGCTAATGACTTTGCCGAAAACCCTGCAGCAAGAAATAAGTTATCTTATGGACACTCCAGGGAAAAACAGAGATGTGGAAGAAACTTTATTACAAGTGGCTCATGATCCTGATTGTGGGACTGTGGTACGGCAAGGTAGGTCTTTTAACTTGTCATCAAGGAAATGTTGACTCTGGAGAAGAAAACAGCTTATGAGTCATATTTTCACTTGATCATCTAGAAGGGAAGCATCCTTTCGATATGATCTCTAAGAAGGAAAGAAAGCTTCAGTAATTGGAGGTTGTTCTTCCAAACGTACATTTCTTCCCACCACACTCGTGGCCCCCCCACTTCTGCAAAGAATTGGAGGGAGATAACTTCTTATGCCTTCATGTGATTGACTTAAAAATAAGAACTATATTAATGTGTTCTAGGAGCAGTCACCTGGGCTAGCAAATGGATACATTTTTATGATGATAGATACACGACTTTCTTCAGTGAACTAATAATAATGCCTAATGTCTCTGTAATAATACCTAAGATTTATGAAGTTTTTTAAGGCTTACAAATCTCTTTGCAAATATTGTCTCACTTGAGCCTTACTACAACCCTGTGAGGTGGGGGCTGTTGTTCCCATTTTACAGATGAGGAAATGGAAACTGAGAGAAGTTTAAGTGATTCTCCAGGTCACATAAGTAGTGAGTATCAGAGACAGGATTTGAATTCAGGCCTTCCTAAGCCTTAAAAATATTTCACAAACTATGACTAATGTCTCATATTAGCTTAAGAGACTAATATACAGTGTAAAATAAAACATTCTCAGGATGTTAATTTTTACTTCATAAGCCAGGAAAGAAACGTGACACTGAAGATGCCCCACTTTCAATGGATGTATTGTATTTTCATTCATGTTATTGAGATACAAGTAACTGCTATTGCCATTATCTCATATGAGTTGTAACATGTGTGAGTATTACCTCAGTAAACACTGCCAGATTCTCACAGCATATACTGAGATAAATGAGGACCTACTCTGAATTTGTATCTTTTGAAGCATTAGTAAAAGTCATTGGACAAATGGGGTTTTTTGTGTTTTTTTAATCTTTTTTTAATGACCCAATTTGTAATTTAATAGCTGTTGTCCATTCAAGTCAAAGAAAGGATGAAAATACTGTTTTGCCTTCAGGACTGGACTGTTTAGGTTTATGGAGTTTTTGTTGTTTTGGGGGCAGGCTTTGTTATTTAGCATTCAGCACCTAAAGCATCTGACAGATATTTGATAAAGATAATCGAATGGGGAGCCTTTAACAGATGTAAAATCTATGTGACATTAAAACAGAAATCACTTTTCCTAATTTTATTGGGCCCATGGAAAAGCATGCTGGTCTTTAAAGCTTTTCAGATGACTAACATCTGTGTATAATATTCTTCCTGGGTACAGGACTTTCAGGAATCGTGAGACCTTCTAGCGTAATGCAGAGCACCAAAGGCATCCTGACAGCTGGTAAGAAAGAAACCCCAAGACCCCAGGAGTGATGCAGCCCTTGATGTCAGGGACAGCATTGCCACTGGTCAGATTCTGATCACTTGTTTCTCATTCCTTCGTTAAATGCTCCTTGATCATGCCTTGTATCAGTTGGCACATTGGGGAAGACCCAAAAATGGACATCATCTTTGAGAAACTGCAGTGTGATACCATGACTCTAATCTGCTAGCCTGAGGAATCAAACAGTGAGAGGTGACATTTGAGGGCCTGGCCTACGCATTACAAGTTCTACATGGCTTTCCAGAGAATTGGTGTCCAAAGCAAGGGACATGCCAGGGCCCTAGGAAGTGTATAATCAACTAGTTAGAGGATAGGAAATTAATAAGCATTTGTTAAGTGCCTGTCATGTGCCAGGCACTGTCCTAAGCAAGGAGGATGGGGGGGGGTGTCCTGTCGCTGTTCAAGGAGTTTACAAGAAATACAGGGGGATCAAGTAGACATAATTAGCAGGAGGAGGGCACTAGCATTAAAAAGGGAAAGACAAAGACTTCTTGTCAAAGGTGGGATTTTAGCTGAGACATGGAGATGAGGAAGGAGAGAATTCCCAGCTGGCCCAAATCAGGTGATAAAGTCTTAGGCAAGGAATATTCAAGAGGCCAGTGTCAGAGTATGTGGAGAGGAGGAAGATGTAAGCAGGCTGGAGAGGTAGGAGGGAACCAGATGGGGAAGGGTTTAAAAGGCAAACAGAAGGTTTTCTATTTGATTATAAATAGGGAGCCACTAGAGTTTACTGAATGGGGAAGTGACATGGTGAGATGTGGGCTTTAGGGGGTTGGGTCCCTCCCCTGGTAGCCAGTCACACGCTTGCCTCCAGCACAAGTAGCCATTTCCTTTACCTGTTACTGCTTAGAACTCCCCCACTGGCCTCCCCGGCTGTCCCAGGCATTAGCCCCTCAGGGGAGCTGAAACTGAGACACCCAACAGTAGCTGCATAGGCTGTTCAACCCTACCATGTCTACACCTTGCCTCCCCAGACTCCCAGGCTATAGAAGCTGCCCTTGGTGCTGGACGGTGACCAGCGAGCAAGCTCCTTCCTTACACCATTGTCAGTGGGACAGATTAAGTCACATGGATAGTTTTGGGGTGTTTGGTGGGTTTTTTTTTGCAAGGCAATTGGGGTTAAGTCACTTGCCCAGAGTCACACAGCTAGTGAGTTTTATGTGTCTGAGGCCGGATTTGAACTCGGGTTCTCCTGACTCCAGGGCCAGTGCTCTATCCACTGCGCCACCTAGCTGCCCCACATGGATAGTTTTTGATGGGCCTTGCTGACCTCATTACATTATCTTTTCCCCCAAAACCCACCCCTCTTTCATACTTTCCCATTTTCATTGAGAAGACCCTTGTCCCTCCAGTTCCTCAGGTTTCCAGCTCACTGTCCTCCTTGACTCTTCACTCTCATGTGGCCACATCTTGTTTCTCTACAGCTTCCCTGGCATCTGATGCCTTCCCTCTACTCACACAGCCACTGCCCTCATTCCATCCCTTTTCACCTCTTGCCTCAGCTGTTTCAGGTCTGCTGGTTTCTTCTGTCCATCCTCTGCACACAGTGGTATCAAACCCACCATACAAGGATTTTTTCTTACTAAGTTTTAATCACTGAATGGGCACTGCCTCAGTCAAACCGAGACCTGTTAGAGACCTTAGCTTGAAAAGGCCATGGTCTTCTTCTGCATCTCCAGTAGTCTGGGCCATCTCCAGTCATCCTGATCCATATCTGCCCACTGAACCCAGATGGCTCCAGAGGAGAACATGAGGCTGGAGACTTTGCACAGCCCTGCCTCACATGTACTCACTTGTATGTCACGGCATCGCCTCCCTGATGTCCTGGTCCTCTTTGAGAACAAAGGACAGACAGCAGCAGAAGCAAGGATCCCCGCAGGCCACGTGGTGACTTGGTTTTTACATGACCTGTGTTTCATTGTATTTTATTTACTTTGTTCAGTATTTCCCAGTGACATTTCAGTCTTATTTGGGCCACACTTGGGAGTGTTGTGGGCCATATTGCAGGCTATGAGTTTGACATCTCTGCTCTGTACAGCTGCCAAGTTAATATTCCTAAAGCCTAGATGTGGCCATGTCGGTTCATTTCTAATATCTCCCTGTTGACATTAGGATAAAATATTACTTCATTTGCATTTTCTCCTTTTTGATCTCTATTTTTATTTTTAATTTAATTTCTATTTTTATCTAAGTTGTATAATGTACATAAATTGCAATGTGCATAATTCAGATTACTAATACAGAATTACATGTATATAATTTAGAAAATAAGTAAATATAGCTATAGAGAGGTGCATGGTCAAACATTTTTTACTGATGGGGTGAGTGACCAAAAAAGTTTGGAAACATTATTCTAAAATGTTCATTCTAAAACTCCTTCTTATTCTAAAACTCCTTCTTATTGAATCTCTTTTCACAGATGCTAAGACTGCCCCCTTTCCTCCAGGAGTGCAGTTGAGTTGTGAGTCTTCTAGGTTTTCCTGTCTCCCCATCTGCTCCATCTCTTCTGCCGCCACTTCCATATGCATAGATTCGCTTACATCAGAAATCTTCCATAGTTCCCTTTTAACTCCTTTGCCAGTCCTTGAAGGCCTTCCAGAATCTGGCACCACAGACTTTCTCTGCTTTGTTTCCCTTTATTTGCTGCCACAGGTGCCTATTATACTCTGCCCAGGAGTTATCAACCTGGGCTCCATCAACTTGTTTTCTGTTTGTTTTTTCTGTTTTGGTAACTGTATTCCAATATAAATTGTCTCCTTTGTAATCCTATCTTTTATGCATTTAAAAACATTCTGAAGGGTCTATAGACTCATCTGACTGTCAGAGGGGTCCATGATGATAGAAAATGTTACCAGAGTGGCCTCTTACCTACTGCCCGACTCCCCTGTGCTTTCTCTTCTCGTCTCTCGTGTACAGAACCTCATCCCTCTGCTGCTCTCCTCGTTCAGTTCCTGCCCAACCCCAGTGTTGCCTCCTCCCCGGAGCCTCCCCTGACACTCCCTGTCTCCCTTCAGCCTGCACCCCAAAGCACTGGGTTTTTACCTTCATCTCACATGAGGAATCTGACTCTACTCTTGCTCTCTCCTCCCTTGCCTAAGCTACTTGTTGAATAGAAATAGAAGCAGGTGGCACCTCGACCAGGCTTGTGCCACCATTGGCCTGTGCTGAAGACTGTGACCCAGCAGCATTCAAATCCAGGACTCCTCCTCTCTTGTCCCATGGTCTTTACATTATCTGCAGCATTTAGGGTGATGTTATCTGGCGTAAGATGAGAAGCTGCTTTTAAAGTGATGTTTTATAATTGGTTGACTATATTTTCTGAAACAATTTAGGCCACGTGGTTTGACAAAGGCTAAATCATTTGTGAAGCCTCACTAAGCATTCTTTTTTTGAAATTAGTCTGTCCTGAACCATCTGGAGCTCTGATGTCTGCAGTTATAGCCATCTCATCCACATTATGTTTCATACCTAGTTCGAGCTGACTCCTGTCTTTGGTGCTGCCCTTGGACTGGTCTCCACTGTGCCATCATCGCAGGGCTCTCTTTGCCAGCAGAGGGCAGCAGCCAACGTGCACCTGCCAGAAACCCAGCCTCCTCCTGTCCTGATGGCAGACCCGTACTGAGAGGGCCCAGGTGGGCTCTGGAATCATGGAGCGCTGACCTTACCCTCTCAGTGGAGAAGTTACATTGTTAGCACGTGTCAAGGCCACGTTTTAAGTGGTGGGACATTTTCACTGAACTAACTTGTAATGGAGTTACAGGAAATAAGAAAAGTTATCTAAATATGGTTTCCACACATTTATTGTCTTTATCTTATCCTGTAGTTATTTTAGGTGAATAGTAGTGTCTTTCTGCTAACTCAGATTTTCTGATGGATCTTGGACAAGCACTGACTAGACACACTATTTAAAAAGTTTACCCATTCTTCTAGACCCTTAAAAATTCCCCTTTTTACACATCCAGATGGTATTGGTAAGCACCTTCCCAGAGGCCAAAAGGCTTGACTGTACCAGTGACTGAACTGGTGGTTTGTCTGTGCCCTCCCCCCAGTTCCTCTCCTCTCTTGCTCCTTCTGACTCACCCAGCAAATTCTTTGGCTGGGAACTCTCTTCTTCCAGCTTTCCCCCAACAAAGTACAAACTCTCTCAAGTTATCCATCCAGCTATCATCTTGTAGTTGATCTTTTCCCTTGGTAGATGGGTTAGGATACCATGTAACACCTGTTACTTTATTTCCCTTTCTTTTGTGGAAATTTTCACCCCTTTCTCCTTGTTTGTACTTCCTAGATTTGTAGTCTTGGGCATCTTGGGTTTTAGAGCTAGGAGGGACCTTAATTTATCCCTCTTATTACAGATCTTTATCGATAAAATCATCTTCCTTTCATTTTTCTCCCCAACTGGAAGAGGTGAAGGGACTTGCCCAAGATCACAGCACTAATAAGGAGCTGAAGAAGTTTTGTTTCCTCCCCACATTCAGGCTCCCCTTAATTACCCTTCTCTCTCCTTACGGAGGATATAAGCAAGTGAAATAACTAACGAAATTCAGTTTGTATTTCCATCCACCTGAGAAGTGATGCAATTCATCCCAAAAGAGATGGGGAAGAATAGTGGAAGATGGGAGAAACCACAAGCACATGGTCTTTTAGAGCAAGAAAGGACCTCAGCAGTCATTCAGTTCACCGTGAGTGCTCGCTGTCTGGCCACTAAGAGAGCTGCCTGTCAGTTTGGTCGTGAGTCAGAATTTCAGCTCTAGTAATGGCAGTGTCATGTGCCAGGGGTTTCTTCACATTGCCAGTGTGGTTTCACAATTAAATTGAGTGATTTTTTTAAAAAAATTTTAAATGTTTTAAAATATTTTGTGTAGGATTTAGAGTTATGCCTAGAGAGAAGAACTCAGTAACTTTTTATGTGTTGTGGACCCCTTGGGCGGTCTGAGAAAGCCTAGGGACCCCTCTTCAGAATCATACTTTTAAGTGATACATAGAATTAGAGAAGAAACCAATTATCACAGTTATCAATTTTTTTAAAAAACAAAGTCACGGATCCCAGGTTCAGAGCCCCTGCTGTAGAGATTTCTAAAATGTCTTATGGCAAGTGTTGCAATATTTGGCGATGACCATTCAGGTCTCATTAAAGGATTCTGATCCCTCCAGCATCTTTGAAATAGGTGAGGTGGGCAGCAGGCTTGGGTCCTCCCTCTCAGTGTAAGGATCTTTTCTCTTTCTCACCACTAGCTCGTGGCCATGGGGTCCACCTGCATTCATCTGTGCTTTGCCACCTGCACATAGGAAGGTAGACCCTATGTCCTCTCCCAGCCCATTCTCGATGAAAATATGAGCTTCAGAATGTGGGTGATCTGTTCCTCTGGGGAGCTTTGGGGGCAGGTCCCTAGATGCTTTTTTAGCCTAGAAAAAACTGCCCAGTTTAAGGCGTGTTACGGCTTGTACTGAACAGGTTTCTGGCATGCCCAAGTTGCTGTTTACTGGCTCTGCTTTGAAGGCAACAGAGTGGCTCACTCATTAACCACAACCTGTGCGAGAGGGCAACAGGCGAGTGGACGGGCTGAAATGCTGCTGGTCACCTCGGACTGGACCCATTCCTCATGTTTACTTTGAGCAGTACCTGTGAAAACAGCCCAAAACAAGCCCGTGTTACCAGTAAAGGCTGTGCAGAGATATGCTTGTCTTTGGGCCCAATCCTTTGGGAGTTTTGTGTAATTTCCATTTAGATAAGTTTTTTTTGTTTTGACTTGTTCCTTAGAAAAGATTTTCTTGGTAGATACAGCTAGTTTGGTTAGAAACTTAATTAGAAGAAACATCTGGTGTTTAAAGTTATGAGCAAATGTATTCTTTCAATCTGTTTCTTTCATTTCTGACTTCATTATTAACCTGAGGGATTTTGTCTTGATCTTTGTGAACTACCAGGTGTTCCTAGTTGATGAACCCACAGGAAGTGAGCTCTGTGTGTGTTTCGTTAGCAGAGTTGGAGTTTTAACAGTGCTGGCTGCTAGTTGATTCTACATGCTGCTGCTGGGTGCCAGGCACTAAAGAGACAAAAATGGGAAAATAGCACAGTTCCTTACCTCCAAGAGCTTACAGGCTGGTATAGGGGAAGAAACATGGACACAGTGATGGTATAAGTTACAATATTATAAAATCCTTAGAAGAAGGAAGACAGAAGGGAAAGATTAGTTCTGGTTAGGAGTAAGTGGAAGGTTTCCTGGAGGGAGTGATACCTAAGTAAGAAAAGAAATCAGCTCTCTGAAGTGGAGAAAGAAGGGCACATGTCTTTTAGATGTGGTGGCCAGTGTGTGCAGACACAGAGAAATAGGAGAGAGCTTGGAATAACTTTGGAGAACAGTACACGGTCTAGTTTCACAGGATTTTCAAATGAGTAAAGAATAGTACTGCAAGGTAAGTTGGGAGCCTTGAATGTCAGACTAAGAAATTTGGGTTTTACTTGTTAACAATGGAGAGTCAGTGAAAACTTTTAAACAGTGAGAGATAGGATCTGAATTATCGGCATTAGGAAGACTTTTTTCATAGCAGTGAAAAGGCTGGACTGGAAAAGGGAGACATGCAAGAGGTGATGAGAACCTGATGCAGTGGACCAGGCCATGGAAAGAAAGTAGAAAAGCCCAGGCCAAAGCAAGAGATATTCTGGAGCTAAGGTGAAGACATTTAGCAACGGATTTGGGTGTGGGAGTGTCAGGAAGAGTAAAATTGTGCTCAATTGTCCACAGAAACAAATGGACATTAAGAGCTAAGAGAGGAATGGTAGCTAGTGACTGGACTTGGAGTCAGGAGAGTGGGGTGCTGGCCGGCCTAGGACACCAGCTGGGGACCCCACCCAGGTCACCTCAGTTTTCTTCATCACCAAATGCATAAAGCAGTACCTTTAGTACTCTGTGAGGCTCAGATGAGGTGGTGTGTACAAGGGTACATGCACATTTTAAAGTGCTGTATGTGTGTCTGCTATTACTGAGAGGCAGTGGGGTGGGATGGAGTGCGGAGCACCTGGCCAGAGGAACACCTGGCTTTAGAATGCAGATCCTAACCTGGGATTTGAACCCAGATCTCTAACTCCTGACTGACAAAGAAGTAGTAGTAATAGTAGCAGAAGTAAATTAGTGTTCTAGGCAAGGTAAGACTGTAAGAGTCTAGGTTAGTCATAAAGAACTAATGACAAAGGATTGTTAAATCAGGGTGATAGAGGCCAAGAGAACAGAATCTGTATCCATATCAGTAACATAGGTAGCCTCCATCTACATGAGTTTTAGATAGAGTATCTAGGCCAATCCCCCTTTTACAGATGAGGAAGTGAAGGCCTAAAGAGTATGTGACCTGTTCAGAGTCATATAGGTAATTGGTGATAAAGTTGGAATCAGAACCTGGATCTCCTGCCTGCCCAGCCATTGTTCTTTCCCATACTTCCTGCTGGCTTATGTGCTTTAGAGAACACTTCCTATGAAATAGAAGCTCCTTAGGGGCAAGCACCACCTTGGTGTGACGCTTGTACATTTGGCACCCAGTTACTGCCTACCGAGTGCTTCATGAATTCTCGGCACTGATTTGTTTGACCGATTGATTCTGGGATTCAAAATGAAGTACTGTCTGTAGGATTGTCATTAAAAGAAGATGCCTATTTTTAGGGAGTGTGGTTCTGTGTGTGTCTTTCCACCGAAAGCAAAGAACTAGCTAGCTCGTCAGAGAAGCCTACATATGAGGGGTTTTTAATTTACCCTTTTTCAATGAAGAAAAGTCTGTTTTTCTCTCCTTATCCCTTCATACCATAGGAAAAGAAAAAAAGAAAAAGAAAACCCTTGTATCAAATACACACAGTATCTGAACTGATGCAAAGTGAAGTGAGCAAAATGAGAGCATCGTATACAGTAACAGCAATGTTGTACACTAATCAACTGTGAATGAGTTAGCTGTTCTCAGCAGCGCAATGATCCAAGACAGTTCTGATGGACTCCTGGTGAAAAATGCTGTCCACCTCCTGAGAAAGAACTGATGCAGTCTGAATGCTATCTAAGCGAACTTTTTACTTTCTTTCTCTTGGGTTTTGGATTTTTGTTTTGGTCTGTGTTGTCTTTTGCAACATTGCTAACATGTAAATAGTTTTGCATGACTGCGTATCTGTAATCTATACCAAATTGCTTTACCTTCTTAAGGAGAGGAAGGGAGGGAACTCAAAATTTTTAAAAATGAATGTCTAAAGTTGTTTTTACATGTAACTGAGAAAAAGTAAAATTTATGAAAAAATGCTTGTTAAATTTTTATATATGTGTGTGTGTGTGTGTATGTGTATATGTGTGTGTGTGTGTGTGTGTGTGTGTATATATATATATATATATATATATATATATATATATATATATATATATATATATATATAATCAAGCAAACAAATCCCACATTGGTCATAACCCCCCTCAAAAAAAAATATGCTTCATTCTGCCCTCTAAGTGCATCACCTCTCTGTCAGGAGGTGACCATCATACTTCATCATTGATCCTTTGGAGCTGTCATTAGTCATTGTGCTGATTAGAATTCCAAAGTCTTTCAAAAGTGCTTGTCTTTACAATATTGTTGTTGTTGTATAAATTGTTCTCCTCACTTCAGTCTGCCTCAGATCACGTAAGTCCACATAAAGTTGTATTTTCACCTTGTTTAATGCGCCTGAGTTCCAAGTCGGCAGTGGCCAGGGCTTCTAGAATAGCCATTGCATCTTGTAGCTGTGGCTCAGTTTCCTGGGGCTGCCGTATTGAGCTTGCCATGTGAAAGAACCAAGGACCTGAATTGGGTTTAGAAGCTTGATGGGTTCAGATGGGAATGTAAAATCTTCTTCTGTAACAAGTTCCAGCCTCTGGGTGCTCGAGTGGGTGAGGTTTGCTGAGAGTGCTTGCTCCAGGGAGAAAATTAAAGATGGTGGAGGTGGGGAATGGCAGTCTTCCAGCTCTACATTTCTAGAATAGTCTGTGCTGGTGCCAGATGGTTCTTGGAGATTAGACGGGCAGTTGTCCTGGGGTCCTGCCTTTTCTTACCAGTTACTTCCTACGATGATCCCTTCTGTAGGGTCTTCTAGCATAGGTCTGGGTCTTCCAGTCTATCAACAAGCAGTTGTGAAGCACCCACTCTAGCAGACGTTGTGGTCGGCAGGTGCTGAAAATACAAGTGCCAGCTAAGAGCCCCTGCCCTCCTGGAGCTTCCGTTTTCCACAGGGCTCCCTTGGGGCAGCAGTTAGAAAGTTGACATTTTCCAGAAAACAGACCAAGCACAAACTCGTTCATTGTAACTTGTCAGAAATACTTATCGTAGATGTAGAGCTAGAAGAAACTTCAGCAGCCCTCTGGTGCCACCCCTTCACTTCACCACTAGAGGCCATCAAGGTGTTTCTAGAGGCAGCGTTCTTTCCACTGCTCCACTGACTCATCATGATGGATCTCTAGACAAACAGATTTCAGGCTTCATGTTAGATCAGTTTGTGTCTCGCTGTAGAGAAGTCTGTTATCAGATACCAAGAAGACGTGCCAGGCCCCCAGGGAGAGCCAGGGGTGAGATAGGAAGACAGCCCTCAGCTTCAGGAGCTCCCGTGGCATCCAGCAGGCATGACGCCACGGTCAGCTTTGGTGAAAGTTTGTTGCTTGATCAGTCTACATGCCCACATCCTCACTCAGTGCAGGACTGAGGGTTCATTTCCATTGTCACCGTCCGTGACTGTTTATCTTTGCAGAGTGTTTCTCAAGTATTCCATGATAAGAATTATTACTGAATTACCACTAAATAATCCTATTTTTCCCTTTCTCTTTCAGGTGTGAAGAAATCGTTGATTTATAGTTCAATGAAAGTGCTAAAAATGTGGACCGGATGGACAAAGAAGACATCCTAATGTTATTTGCTTTTGTAAATGCTGTGTATAGATAGATAAAGTGTCTGATCTTTTTGTCAGAACAGCATTGATTATTTTTACTCACTATTTAATTTCTTTGGAACTCTTGAGACAAGTAGGAAAGGATTACATAAAAGCAGTTTGGAGTAGTTTTCTGAGAAGAGAATTCTTCTGTTCAGATAGATGTTCAGCTATATGGATTCAGTGCTCATTAGAACTTAGACTGACATGTTTTCTAGGCACATTAGTGTCAGAAGTGTGTGAGGTTGCTCACATGTGTGTGCAATGTTCAGCCCCTGAATGATGGCTTTAGGAAGCTTTCCCTCTGTACTTGTTTTCTCAATCTCCTCTTCTTACTCTCTTGCCTCCACACACTTATTTTTCCCAATCAGGGTTCTAAAGTGTTTAATTGAATTTTTACTGGGTTAAGGCTTTTATTTTTCTTTGATGTATTCTTTAAAATGCATAGTAGTCATAACCTCATGTGCTGCAGTCTCTGGGGCCCATAACTGTAATGGTCAAGTGCCATTTTGTTTTATCCTCCTGGTGAGCCGTGCCTTCTTTTCTTGTATACAAGTTGTGAGACGTATAGTATCAAGCTATAAACCTAGGCTGACTGTGCCCCTAAAGCCAGCCTATTACCAGGTCTGTCCTTTTCTTCCTCTGAATTGTCCATTGGCTTTGCCCTATGTTCTCCATCCCTGCTGCTGATACCAGGGTCAAAGCTCTTAGAATCTCTCCTCCAGTCCTTCAGCTTCACCTCCCTGCTCCCCCTCTTCTCCAGCCCAGTCTTAAATCAGTGGCTTCATGAGTATCTTCCCAAGCTGGATAAGAGCTCCTCTTTGAAGTCACCCTGATGAGTTTGGACTTTGCCAAAGTCCTCCTTCACCTGGTCCCGTTTGACCAATCCATCCTCTCATTTTCCTTCTATTTCCCAGCACAGTGCTTAGAAGTAGGTACTTAATAGATTTTTCCTTACTTGAAAGGACGGATTTCACTAAAGCAGGTACTTCACAGATCCAGATTGCAATCTCCCTCCATTCATCAGCAAATGATTTCACTATTTCCATGGCCAAAAATATTTGTCACTTGGTGGCCAACTTTGTGATAGGCTTCTCTGAAACGAGTTTGGTCCTCATGAGCCAGGCATGGAATCATCCTCTGACCCCTCCTCCAAGCCACACCAGCTTGTAGGACCTCACAGAACTTGGACCCCTGAAGCACAGCTTTCAGGAGCCCAGAGTTAGCATCCAATGGTGAGGCTTTGGGAAAGCACTCCAGTGGAAACTCAATAGTTAGAACACAGCATTTTAAATCCCATTTAGGCTGCTACCACCTTGATTTCCTCAGCAGGGAGAATCGGGCCCAGAAGTTAATTTTCCAAGGCCATATGGCTGTAGTCGTTAAAGTTTTGACCCAGGGATCTTGATTCTCAGGTCCTTGCTTTGTTCATTACATGACACGCTTTCCAAATATGATGCAACACAGCAAGCATTTATTAAGTGCCTACTGTATGTGGGTGCTTGGTTTTTATGCTCAATGGCTCCCAAGACATTTTAGGTGTTGCCTGTAATTGATTACTATTGGAGCAGGAAAGTGACCAGATCAGTGATTAAAAATAACCACCAAAGCAAACCAACTTAAACAGCCTCTGAACTTAACAAAGAACAGCCCTCGAGAGCAGAAAGTTTGCTCTTTATTCCAACGTAGTACACCAGAAAACAAAGTTTGGGGAGGGGTGCAGTGTCGGGAAGTAATGAATTAAAACAAAATGTATCTTTTTAAAAAGAAAAAGCATTGGACTTGGAATTTGAATACTGACTCTGCTGCCTATGACCTGTGACAGGTTAAGTTCCATTACCTCTCTACGCTAAGAAATTGTGGGGAAAGTGTAAACCCTGAAAGCCTCTTATCATTGAGAAGTTTTATTCTTGGTTTCTATAGAGCTTCTACGTTACTTTTCATCCTTCCTGTTAAATTGGGGGTATGAGGAAGCCCCGAAAGATTGATTGAAGTCTGCATACTTCATTTGCAGCTGAAGTTTTACTGTAGATTTTAATCAAAGGTGATGAGCCATGGCTTCCCTGTGGAATCATGTAAACTCTGGCCCCCTGAACTTGTTCCTAGTCATGCATGTGCAGTTGAAATATCACTAGGCAAAGATCTGGATTGAAGCTCCAGGGCTGCAACTTACTCACTGTGACTTTGGGTAACTCATTCCCTTCTCCAAACCTGAGTTTTCCCATCTACCAAAACTGGGCCAGTACAACCGCCCGATCCGCTTTGTTAGGGAGTTTGAATGAAATTATGTAAAGTCTTTTGTAGATTATAGAGTAGCCTTTGTAACTGTAACAGAGGGGTCAAACACCCTGGCCACATGTAGTCCACACCACAACAGTCCTGAGTGTGCCCAAATCAAATTAAAAGGTAATTGGGAAATATTTAACAAAATGAATAAAAGTACAATAAAACATGGATAATAGTACATTTTAAAAGAAAGCACGCAGCCTACAGGGATCCTTAGGTAGGGATCCCCACCCCACCCCCTTCTATTTGAGCCTGACCAGTGCAAGAAAATACTAAATTAATGGCAACCTTGCTGGAAGGGAACTCTGTTGTGCCATTCATGGAAGTGCATACTGCTGTCTGACAAGTCTGTTCATTTGTAGGTTTTGCCTGGAAATCTTTGTTTATCTTCTTGGCCTTTTTTCATTTTGCATTTTTACATACCAGCTCTGTAAAGATAGGTCTTGGCCTTTATCAAGAATTCCCTAGATTCTCATATTACTTGTCTTCATACAGAGAGACAGTTAATACCACAAAAGCTCTAGGAATAATAAACAGGAGGAAAATGTGCTAGAAATGCTAGTTAATTATGTGTTCTTGGGCAAGTTTCAATCTCTCAGTGCCTCAGTTTCCTTATCTGTAATATGTGGAGGAGGAGGGGTGAATTGAACTAGGCAAAATTTTTGATTTTTTTTTAGCCCTGAAATCCTTGGATGCATGCATAATTTCAGCCACTTAGGGAAGTTTTGAAAAGACCATTTTGAACTGTCAAAATGTATGCCAACTTTGGGGCAGCCAAGTGGTTAGAGCACTGGGCCTGAAGCAAGAAGACTCATCTTCATGAGTTCAACTCCAACCTCAGACACTTACTAGCTGTGTGACCCTGGGGAAGTCACTTAACCCCATTTGCCTCAGTTCCTCATCTGTAAAATAAACTGGAGAAGAAAATGGCAATCCAGACAGCATCTTTGCCAAGAAAACCCCAATGTGTGGGGGGGGGAAGGGAGGGAGGTCACAAAGAGTTGGACACAACTTAAAAATGAAAAAATGATACAACAGCAACATTCTGACTTTAGTTGATACCTTTCGAGATGCCTATGGCTAGAATGAATGACCCTGGTTATTCTTAGAAGTATCAGTGATCTTCCTTCTTGAACTTTCCCCAACTGGGCAAAAGGCCAGCCTTGAAAGAGTTGCCGTCTCGGAAGATGTGAATTCCCAGTTGACTTAAGGTCTGTGCTGTATACCATAGTATCTGTGTGTTTGAACATAGGCCAATCAATGGCTCCTGCTGGTGGCACCACACTTAAGTGAACTAGCATGGAACTGGATCACTTGAATCTGAACCAACAGGAACCAACATTTCCATCTTAGTTTGTAAATTCTATCTTTGGGTTGGAAGCAACCTTACATCCTGGATAAATGTTACATATTTTAATGATGGCAATGATGCACATCATTCATTGATATTTTACAGATATTTTAAGACCAGAGTAAATCATTTTAGTAGAAAAAACTCACAGAAAAGACCTTAAGGGTTTTCTAGTCAAATTCTACAGAGAAGAAAACTGAGGACCCAAAGAGTGGAAGTGTCTTACTCAAGATCACTCAGCCACAAAGTGGCAAAGTAGAATTACAACCCCGTGCTCCTGTCCACCAACTGCAGCTTAAGGGCCACACTCCTTCCTACCCCTCCCCAACAATGTCCAGTGGTTTGTCTGAAAAGACTTGTTTTGCCTAGGTTCTGGCTTCTGCAAATCCATTTTATCTCTCTGCCTTTCTAAGTGCCCAACCTCATCCCTGGGGCCATGGGGCTTTGCACAAATTATCTTGCTTTTGGTAAGAATCCAATAGTGAATGAGCTGTGACTCACCACACCCTACATGTTCAGTTCTTGTTCAGATTAAAGCTATACCTTACCACAGTAGTTTGCTTTCATTGCCTGCCTCCTAGAAATGCCTGCCCCATCACCTTACACACACACACACACACACACACAGGCTAATTGCTCTATTTGGAGATTTTTGGGCAAGGGGAGGAAGAGGATCAGTAAGTAATGCATGAAACTACAAAATCAGGACTCAAGAAATTGTGCCAAATTAGACCCTTGCTCCCTAAAACTGGAGCTAACTGAAAAAAGAGCTCATCCTTCTTCAGCCCGGTGGCTGTTTGGTGTGGGAAGAGAGCAAGCAGGTTCAGGCAGGGAGAGGTGTCTACACTTGCCAAGTTCAAGCATCTCAAAGCAGTCCCTCTGACAGTGAAGAAGAAGGGCTCTGATTTGGAGAAATTGTTGGATCAAGGAGGGAAGGAGAATCAGAGAACAATTTCAGACTAGGGAAGGATCGTGGAGGGCATCTTTGCATGGTCTTAGCATGGGCAGCTAGGTGGTGCCATAGTGCACAGAGTGCCTGGCCTGGAGTCAGGAAGCTTCTTTGTGAGTTCAAATCCAGCCTTAGACACTAGCTGAATGACTGTGGGTAAGTCACTTCACCCTGTTTGCCTCAGTTTCCTCATCTATAAAATGGTCTGGAAAAGGAAAATGGCAAATCATCCAATGTCTTTGCCAAGAAAAACCTCAAATGGGGTCATGAAGAAAAACAACTGAACAATAGCATGGCATGATGGAAAGTGCTGGATTTGGATCAAGCACTGAGTTCAAATCTCACCTCTGCTACTAACTACTGTTGTGACATTGGAGAAGTAAATCTCTTCATCTCTCTGGACCTGTCTCCTCATCTGCCCAAGGTCACGTAGCCAGTCTATATGAGACGCAGAAATCCTCTACTCTGACCTTAGTCCTCTCTCCCCTGTGCTGCATTGTATCATCGCCAAACTTTTACAAAAGGAGTGACTGACTAATGGTAGAGATTTCAGACTAGGTAGGAGGAGAGTGTATGACAGGCCACTGGGAGAGAGATTTGGGGTGGGACAGAAGGGACTTCGTGGCTGCTTTGTCCATCACTTTATTGGGCTGGCCTGAACTTGAGGAGAATTATGGCCTGAATTACAAGGAAACTTGCCCTTGCTAAAGGCAAAGACTAACTGGAATATTTAAGCAGCCTCCTGGAGAGCAAGACTCTTACCTCATCCCCAGAGGTCTGACAGGGATGTACATCACAGCATTGGGAGTCTAATGGAACTTAAAAGAGTGCGTTTCGAGGACTGGAAGTGTGCTCAGGTTTTTAATCAAGGACTGTTTCCTGTCTACAGAAGGATTTCTTTGGGACCTTGGGATAGGAGTTAGTTTGCATAACTAACGCAGACTTCAGGAAATAATATCAGAGGACTTTTTTTCTCTCTCCTGTATCCAATCACATGAGCTTAGACATTTCTTAGATGCTTTCCAATGTAGAGCACTGTGCTAGGTTAACACACAAAATGAGGTCCCTACCAACAGGGAGCTTACTATCTAATAGGGGAATCATGACACCAGGAATTATTTTCAGGTGGGGTAAAAATAGTGAGGAAGTAGTACAGAGGACAGTTGTACTATGGTACAATCAAGCAGAGAGGGGGGCAACCCATCTCCCAGAAGGACCAGCCCATGCCCTTGGGGAAGCTGGGAGGCTTGGCAGTGGGAGGTGGGAAGCAAACCCCAGAAAAAGATTATCAAAGTGACAGGACTATGGGCACAAGACCACAAGGTAGGGGCATAGGGAGAGTAGTTGTCAGACAGCCTTGAAGAAAAATCACACCCCACTAGATATCAGCACTCTAGGGCAAAGTCCTACCCACCCTGCCCTAGTTATGGCGCTGCTTAACAAATTCACAATTATAATGCTAACCAATTACTTGTCCATGTTCTACATTCTCTAATACTGTACACTCTTAAGGACTTAAAATGTTGTCTTTCTCTTAATAGTGATTGGGTTATATACTCCATGAGATCATAAACTCATTGGGAATACAGACTTTCACAGTAGATAAAATGCTGAGCCCAGAGTCAGGAAAACCCGAGTTCAAATCCAGCCTCACTATCTGTGTCACACCTGGGCAAGTCACTTAGCCTCAGTTTGCCTCAGTTTCCTCAACTGTGAAATGGGGATAATAATAGTACCTACCTTGCAGGGTTGCTTGTGAGGCTCAAAATGAGATAATTTTTGTAAAAAGCACAGCACAGTACCTGACACATAGGTGCTATATAAATGCTTATTTCCTCCCTCCCTATTCACCTGTGTTTCCCCCTAGTATTTAGCACAGTATCTAAGACATAGTAGAAACCTAATAAATGCTTGACTCAAAAGAGTAATAATGATAATGGTAAAAGCAAATTCCGTAGAAAGAATAAATCACATTTCTGCAGAGTTTTAGGACATAAATGATTTTTTCTCACAACAGCCCTGTGAGGTAAGGTAAAGAGTGCAGATATGACTCCCATCTCACTAGATAGCAGATGTAGCTTCAGAACCAGTAAGTGATTTTCCCAGAGTCACCCAGATTGTACGTGTCAGAGTCTCAGCCTCCTGACTTCAGCCCAGGACCATGGAAGTCTTCTCATTCCCAATGCTGCTTTGCCTCGACCATCCAGGAAAATGTTGGGAGGATGAAGAAGATGAACAGGAAGGCAATGTTGTGTGATAGAAAGATAGCTGGATTTGTAGAACAACTGTGAGACTTCACCTCACACTCGCACACCTCACACATGTTTATCATAGTTTGTGATTAAGATGACAAAAGATAGAAACAGTCAAGGACAGAAGAACTGCCATAAGGCAGAAATGCCTCTCCATTGTTAGTGGAGATGAAAATTGCTCAGCCACTCTGGAAAGCAACTTGCTTTTTTAAAAGTGTCTATTGGGGCAGCTAGGTGATGCAATGAATAGAACACTGGGCTTGGAATCAGGAAGATTCATCTTCATGAGTTCAAATCTGGGCTCAGACACTTACTAGCTGTGTGACCCTGGGCATGTCACTTTGCCCTGTTTGCCTCAGTTTCCTCATCTGTAAAATGAACTGTAGAAGGAAATGGCAAACCACTCCAGTATCTTTGCCAAGAAAACCCCAAATGGGGGCATGCAGAGACACAACTGAAGCAACTGAACAACAACAACAAACTGTCTATATCTTTTTACCCAAAGATCCTACTGCAAGGCAAATGTCTCATGGATGGGGGAAAAAAGTCTCACATAAACAAAAATATTCAGGACAGGGCTTTTTGTGATAGCAAAGAACTGGGAGCAAAGTAGATGCCCATTAATTGGGGGTGGGGGTAGGGTGGCTAAATAAATTGTGGTACGTGAATGTAATGGAATATCACTCTACAATAAGAAAACACTGGAGATGAAGAATTCAGGGAAGTTTGGGAAGACCTACATGACCTGATGCAAAGTAAGTAGAACCAGGAAAACAATATACATGATGAGAGTCAATCAATCAATAAACATTTATTAAGGGCCTACATGTGCCAGGAACTATGTCAAGCATTGGGATACAAAAAGAGGTAAAAGACATTCCCTACCCTCAAGGAGCTTACAGTCTAATGGAGGAGACAACATCCAAACAAATATACATACATACATGTATATTTATATATGTATTTAAGTATGTGTGTATATGTGTGTGTGTGTGTGTGTGTGTGTGTGTGTGTGTACACACACACACATACAATATAAGCTGTATATGGATAAGTAGGGAATGATTAAGAGAGGGAAAGCACTTTAATTAAGGCAGGTTGGAGAAGGTAGGATTTTAGTTGGGACATAAAGGAAGCCAGGGAGCTCAGCAGTTAAAGAGGAGGAAAGAGAGTGTTCTAGGCATGGGGAACAACCAGAGAATACAGATGTAAGTGGAGAGATAATAAAGAAAAAAAAAAAAGAAACTAACACTATAATTATAATGAACAAGTTTGACCCCAATAAAGAGATAAGCAACTGTAC